AGTAGGAAAACCTGCAAAATCGGCAGTGTATCAAATACTTGTTCTCCCCACTGTATATCCATCCTGCCCTGCCTTTCGAAAGTTTTTGAAAGCCAAGTTAACAAACAGATCACCGACCATTTCGAATCACACCGTACCTTCTCCGCTATGCAATCCAGTTTCCGAGCTGGTCATGGGTGCACCATCCTAAACGATATTATAACAGTACTATGCAGCCGTCTTCATCGACCTGGCCAAGGCTTTCAACTCTGTCAACCACCGCATTCTTATTGGCAGACTAAATAGCCTTGGTTTCTCAAATGACTGCCTCGCCTGGTTCACCAACTACTTCTCAGATAGAGTTCAATGTGTCAAATCGGAGGGCCTGTTGTCTGGACCTATGGCAGTCTCTATGGGGGTGCCACAGGGTTCAATTCTTGGGCCGACTCTTTTCTCTGTGTATATCAATGATGTCGCTCTTGCTGCCGGTGATTCTCAGATCCACCTCTACGCAGACAACACCATTTTGTATACATCTGGCCCTTCATTGGACACTGTGTTAACAAACCTCCAAACGAGCTTCAATGCCATACAACACTCCTTCCGTAGCCTCCAACTGCTCTTAAACACAAGTAAAACTAAATGCATGCTCTTCAATCGAACGCTGCTGGCACCCGCCCACCCGACTAGAATGACTACTCTCGACGGGTCTGACCTAGAGTATGTGGACAACTACAAATACCTAGGTGTCTGGTTAGACTGTAAACTCTCCTTCCAGACTCACATTAAGCATCAACTATCAGCTATTGTCACGCCCTGACTCATGGGACTCTTGTATGTTGAGTCAGGGTGTGGATATTCTATGTTAGTATTTCTATGTTGCATTCTAGGGTGTGTAGTACTATGTTTGGCCGGGTGTGATTCCCAATCAGAGGCAGCTGTCGCTCGTTGTCTCTGATTGGAGATCATACTTAGGCAGCCTATTGGCATTCATTAGTGGTGGGATCTTGTTCCGTGTGAGGCTTGTATTGTGTTTAGCCTTAGGACTTCACGTTTGTTTGTTGTTTTGTTTAGTGTGTTTATCGGTGAAATAAACATGTACGTATTTCACGCTGCGCCTTGGTCTGACCTGTCCTTCAACGGCCGTGACAGAAGATCCCACCAAAAATGGACCAAGCAGCGTGCCCAGGAGCAGACATCCTGGACATAGGAGGAGATCCTGGACGGAAAGGGATCCTGGACATGGGAGGAGATTCAGGCTGGGATGGATCGCCGTCCTTGGGAGGAGACAGTGGAGGCCCGGTTTAGAGAGGAGCAACAGCAACGCAGAAGGCACCGGCCGAGGAAGAAGCCTGAGAGACAGCCCCAATAACTTTTTTTGGGGGGGCTAAAAGGGTGGTCGGGGATCGATGGTGAAGAGCGCCGACCACTGCACTCGTGAGGACTGGGCGCGGAGAGTGAAAGACTGGTACAGTCGGAGATCTCTAACGTCAGTTCCCAGTCCGGTACACCTCGTGCCTGCGTCTCGCACCAAGCTAGTGGTGCGTGTTCCCAGTCCGGTACGGCCCGTTCCTGCTCCCCGCACCAAGCCAGTGGTGCGTGTTCCCAGTCCGGCCCGGCCCGTTCCTGCTCCTCGCACCAGACCAGTGATGCGTGTGTCCAGTCCGGCACGGCCTGTGCCCGTTTCACCGGTGCCTGGTCCGGCACCGGTCAGCTGCTCCACTCCGGAGCCAGAGCAGTCCGCTCCACCGGGGTCCAGTCCAGCTCCGGTCAGCGGCTCCACTCCGGAGCCAGAGCAGTCCGCTCCACCGGTGCCCATTCCAGCTCCGGTCAGCGGCTCCAGTCCAGACCCAGACGTCAGCCCCTTTCCAGGTTCGGGGTCTCCCACACCAGGGTCCAGACAGGGCTTGGAGTACTTCGTGGGAGGAAGGAGAGGGGAAGCAGCGCGCCGAGGTCCAGACCAGACCAGGGGCGCAACGGGGAGGCTGAGAGAATGCCCACCCGGACCCTTCCCTGTCATGTCAGGTTGGTGCGGTCGGAGTCCTGTCATGCCCTGACTCATGGGACTCTTGTATGTTGAGTCAGGGTGTGGATATTCTATGTTAGTATTTATGTTGCGTAGTTCTATGTTTGGCCGGGTGTGATTCCCAATCAGAGGCAGCTGTCACTCGTTGTCTCTGATTGGGGATCATACTTAGGCAGCCTATTGGCATTCATTAGTGGTGGGATCTTGTTCCGTGTGAGGCTTGTATTGTGTTTAGCCTTAGGACTTCACGTTTCGTTTGTTTGTTTTGTTTAGTGTGTTTATTGTTGTAATAAACATGTACGCATTTCACGCTGCGCCTTGGTCTTACCTGTCCTTCAACGGCCGTGAAAGCTATGGTCAGATGAGACTAAAATAGAGCTCTTTGGCTATGCACACCAGTGGTGGGTTTGCCTCGAAAGAAGGATGCATATGTAGAAAATAACCTCATACAGTACCTACTGTAAAATATGGTGGTGGTTTTTGCTGTTATGGGGCTGTTTTGCTTCCACTGGTCCTGGGGCCATTGTTAAGGTCAACGCAGTCATGAACTACCAAGTACCGGTAAAAATCTAGTTTCCCCTGCCAGGAGGCTGAAACCTGGCCGCAAGTGGATCTTCCAGCAAGACAATGACCCCAAACACATAAAAATCTACAAATAAATTGTTAATTGACCGCAAAATCAACATTTTGCAATGGCCATTTCAGTCTCTGGACTTGAACCCCATTACAAAGCTGTGGTTTGAACTGAAGAGGGTAGTCCATAAATGCAGACCGAAGAATATCAAGGATCTGGAAATGTTCTGTATGGAGGAATGGTCTAAGATCCCTCCCAATGTGTTCTCCAATCTCATAAAACATTATAGAAAAGGGCTAACTACCTTTATCCTCGTAAGGGGAAGGTGCACAAAGTAATGAAAACGGGTGGCAATAATTTTGACACCTATCTTTTGGAGATTGTTTTTGTGTTGCTTGTTAAACAAAATGTTTTTCTCTGAGGAATTGTACTACTATAAAAGAAAACATTTTGCCTACAATATAGCTCAGTATTTGTATTATTTATTTGATATAGTCTATTTTGCTCATCTTTATCAAGGGTGCCAATAATTTTGGAGGTGACTGTACACAATGACTGGCCCTGGCAGATATATTTTATCTGTTGCAATAGTTTCAAGAAGAATGTTCATTCATAGCCAACATTCATGTTTCAACTTCGAAACAGATAATAAATTACATACACAGGTACTTACTGTCTAAACACTAGAATTTCTTAAAAGGTACATGACTAACAAATGAAGGGTCGGCTTCCCTTTTTGGGCCAAAAATGTAGATTAAGACAGAGGGGAAAGAAAATAACAAAAACAATCAAAATCCCTCTGGTTACTATTTAAAGGCCTCTAGGGTCATGGCATTTTCATGAAAAAGATTGAAGGTTATTTTCACCTACACAGGCTTTCATCATTAAATCAATTATTCAACATTCTGGTGTTGTATAGTTCATGCCCCATGGGTGGCCTGGCCAAGGTTGAGATTGCTGGGGTGGGGTTTGGGACAGGAAACAACGTTGATCAGATGTGCTTCGATTTTTCTCCGCACTGTCTGCAAATTGAAGACATTTCCTGGCAGTGCCTGGCTTGACTGGATCGCAAAGCTATAATGCTCGCGCTGGATGCGTTTCCGCTTTCATCTCTGGAGACTTGATGCCAGTAAGCCACTTATCTACTGTTAGTGATTTTACAGGAAAGGAGATGCTAATGTACCTTCATTCAATCTAAATGTGAAGATAAACTCAGTTGGATTTTATCCACTTGGTATTAGATATGACATGGTAGCAGCTACTGTATTACCCAATGTAATTACTTCGTAGCGACGCCACACTTTCTTAGCTAGTCAATGAAATAAGCACCACCTCTTTTACAATAGTAGTTCAACAGTAGAATATGAAGTGGTCAAAGAAATCTAACCAGGGCCATGTTCAGAAGGTAAAAGTTGTAGAATGTTGCAGATAGAAATGTAATGAATAGAGCTAACATTCCTTATTCAGAGAGACATATTTCTATCTGAGAGTTCCGCAAAGTTTGCCTACTGAATGTGTCCCAGGTGATTCCAGCGTGCCCTGCTCTTTCACCGCTGGGGAGTCTGGGTAATTCATGTTTAGTCTACAGCCCCTCTGACAGCTGCAGGAAGTGGTTCTGCATGGCCCAGAGAGAAAGGAAGTGCACGTCTGACACCCTGCTGTGCTAGGTGCAGGTGGCTGCAGGGCCCACAGACTAAATATAACCATGGTTACAGCACAGCATGGCTAGACTACACACAGGCTACAGGCTATTCTGGTCCAATAAATCAACACATATCCTTATGTTATTTTGAAGCGCAAACAGCTTGAATTTAAAAGTGACATAAGATGACCTAAGATATTCAAATGTTCAAGTCATATATGTGTGGAATAAGCATGAATGAACAACGTGAAAGTGATGTTATTACTACCCTGTTATGACTATGAACAACATCATTGAGTTTGCTCCTGGTATAGACACAACCTTTCCTACCAACTGGTTTATGAATTGTGAGGTATTTCATGCTTGTCCTGACAGGCCCAAAATGTTTCACAGAGCATATGGAGGAACAAAACAGTATATTTTGACTAGTTTCATCCAGCGTGCACAACCTGACTGCCCAAAAGTAGTCAGGAATATATGAATCTCTTGACATTTCAATGGGTTGGATTTTTTTCCCAGCTCTCACCCCATGTAATAATCTTCAGTTCATAGCAGTACAGTAAGAGCAAACAACTTCACCTGAAGAACAAGTCAACACAAGTCTGGCGGCCAGATTGTCATAATTTTTATCCTCTGTATTTTAACCAATGATATCACTCTCATTGTCTTTAGCTGGAAGGTTCCTGCTTGTTACATGAGTAGCTGTGTCCTTTGTGTGTCCTGGCTCCAGAGGGCGTGATCCACTGACGTTCTTTCCTGTTACTTCCTGTAATGTAGATTACTTCCTGCCCACGGTGAAGACCCTGCCAGGCCTCTTAGGCGAGGAGGCCACCAATCTGCCCGCGCCGCCACAACGGAACCCCCTAAGCAACTTCTCCATCAAACACCCTCTGATAGAGATTCAGTAAGGGCCTCATCATTTTAGATGTTCTCATCTTATCCCATTCATTTGTGATTGAGGCATATGACTGATTCAGTACAACATATGGCATGGGATACGTTGAAGTAGTTGACGTTGGACTTGATATTCATCAATTTTGTTGATTGTAGTCATTACAACTGTTTGTGTCTTTGTGACTACAGGTGCTTATCATCTGCCAATCTGCTAACATGCCAAGATTGACTTAGTAGCGAAAGTGACTTTGAGATGAAAGTAATTTTACTTAACCGCTAATTGCTCGACCATAAAGGGATCGTTCTAGTAGTGGGGCTTCACTTTCAGTGCAGCTGGGATACTTGTTTTGTTCAAAAGTGTGGGCCAGATTGAGTGCATGTTAATGATATTGCTGTGCGTGTGTGTTGGTGTGCATGCTTACGTTTGTGTGTGTTGCTCCTACAGGAACTCAGTGCACAGTCTGTTTTCCAAGCGGTCCTCCCTGGAGCGGAGTCGGAGTATGTTCCATTTGGAGGCGCCTCCTCCCTGGACCCCACTGAACCCCTCAAAGACCCCATCCCAGGAAAGGCTTGGTACGTCCCACACACACCCCAGCTTCTGGAGATGTTCTCCAATACACTGGTGTTTTACACGGTGGCATCCTTCTGCCCTCTGTTGGCAGCTCATTGAAATCAGAAGGATCAGGTTTTCTCATTGTCTGATAACCATGTACAGTATAATGCTGTCATTGCTCTAGTAACATTGTCATTTTTTCTTGTCTAAACTAAAAGCAATTTTCCTTGATGACACTTTAGTGATTTGTCACAGTCCATAATAACCACAGAGCCATGGCCAACCTCCTCTAACCTCCATGCCCTCTTACACTCTTAGAAAAAAGGGTTCCGAAAGGGTTCTTCGACTGTCACCAAAGAAGAACCCTTTTTGGTTCCAGGTAAAACCCTTTTTGGTTCCAGGTAAAACCCTTTTTGGTTCCATGTAGAACGCTATGTGGAAAGGGTTCTACACGGAACCCAAAAGGGTTCTACCTGGAACCAAAAAGGGTTCTTCTAAGAATTCTCCCATGGGGACAGCCGAAGAAACCTTTTAGGTTCTAGATGGCACCTTTTTTTTCAAGAGTGTATAGGCCCTAGGACTCCCGTTGACCCCCCGACCCCTACACCCCTGCTGCTGTTGGTGGAGCCCGGGGACCAGCTCTCCCCTGCAGAGGGCAGGTCGTTTTCATTGCCGTCCCCATCCCTGAGGAGCAGGAAGAAGACGAAGGGAAGCTGTGCCACCATGCCTGCTGTGCTCCGGGAAGCTCCTTCAGAAAGCATAGACAGGACGACCTGCCTCCTGCAGGAGAAGCACATACTGGATGAGGACGTCAAGGCCCAGAAGGTTAGAGCTAAGACCAAAGCTCGTCAATATCACACTAGTGAGCAGTCTTCTGATATCAGTAGCAGCTCCATTAAATTAAATTGAATTTGTATTCCCACCCTGCCCCTGCATCCTATCCTCTTATTTCTCCCCTTCCCCATCAAGGAGCTGGTGTGGCTCCTCCACAAGGCCCTGGAGGTGGCTCAGCTGGAGAAGCGGACATGCACGGAGTTCCTGGCAGCTGAGGGCGAGCAGGAGCGCCTGGAGCTACTGAGGCACCACGAGCGTCACGCCGCTGACCTACGAGGTCGCTTGGAGGAGCTGAAGGCTGAGGGGGAAGACCTGAGAACGAGCCTAGCCCAGAGGGACGCCCACGTGGCCGAGCTGCAGGAGAACTTGACGCTGATGATGGAGAAAAACCACGCCAAACAGGAAGTGAGGCTCAGACAGGAAGGGTCAGATAGGGAAGGATTAGAATAGGCATGTTATCATCATTATCCTGAAAGGATTGGATAGGTGGTTTTAAGCATTATGGCGAAATTCCAAGTAACCAATCAGAACGCAAAGTAGGGGTAGAGCTAGGGGTTGATTTGGAATTGGAGGGTCTATTCTATTCTAATTTGCTCCCAGTGTAGCTGTATACTTCCTGATCTAATCTGGAGATTTACGATATCATTGTCTCTTATCATTGTCTCTTGGTATCATTCCAGGTGATCCTGAAGTTGTTAGAGAAGGTGACAGCCTGCATGGCCGACCCTACACGCACGGTGTCCACCACCAACGGCCTGGATGCCCAGACCTTCCGCCAGTTGCAAGAGGACACCAAGAACCTCAAGGTTGGTTTGTAATTTGCTCGGTCGACCATCAGAGACGGAGTCAAGACTGAAGTCCGGCCTCAAGACCCAGACCAGAGCCATAGAGTCTTCTGAAGTAGATTATATTGGTAGTCCAAATATGAAGCATTTTTCCTTTGCTTCTTTATATACCCTTTACCTTGTCCTTCCTTGCTCTCTATCAATCCTTTTCTCACACAGGATGACATTGAGGCCTACAACATCCAGAACAAGTTCCTGAACTCTGAGATCTACCAGTTGACCAAGCTATGGCGCAACAGTTCCGAGCAGGAGAAAAGCCTTATGGTGAAGGTGGGCCAGCCTAACCACTGTGTGCTATTCAGTGGCAAATACAAACTCAATGTCCTCTGACACTTCCTCCTTCTCCATCTTCGATTCTGTGGTGGTATCAGACAAATAAAAGGGGAAGGAGTTTAGAGTGGATTGCGGTGTTTGTGAAACACTCTAGGCCACTATAGTTGATTGAATTGGGACCTCAGTCTTGGTCTTTTAGTGGGTGCTTATTTTGTGTTGCAGTGTGCATACCTGGAGGCCCGTAACTGTCAGATAGAGAGTCGTTACCTGGCCGTACTGAGGAAGCTGCAGGAGAACAAGGCTCTAGAATCGGGACAGCGGGAGGCTGTGAGGAAAATCATAGGGGACGCACTACAGGGGGACCTGAACGACGTGCTCAAACTCAACCCTGTCAGGTAATAATCTAAAATGGCTTCCTTCTTTGTCTCCTTGTCTCTTCTGCTTCACTACACTGACAGATGACAGGACTGGATCGTTTTTCACCATGCTGCTTTCAGCTGTCATGTCCTGCCATATCAGTGATAATTAACAATGAGACATAAGAGAGAGACACATGTAATAAACAATACATTAAATCTTCAATACAGTCAGACAATGAGCGAACATTTTTAAATCATCAAAACCATTGGTCTGTTTCTTCAGGGAGCACGACGAGTACGGCTTCAAGATCATTCCGGACTACGAGGTGGAGGACATGAAACTGCTGGCCAAGATCCAGGCCCTGGAAATCCGCTCTCACAGCCTGCTGAGGCAGGAGGCCGGGGACAGACTCCTGCTGGACCGCTGGGCTCATTACCTGGGGGGCCGCCTGGCCGACAACCTCTGCCCCTCTTCGGAGCTCAAAAGCCTTCTGCGGGGCGGCGTGCCGTGCGAGTACCGCGCGCGGGTGTGGCGCTGGGTGGTGAGGGTGCGCACACGCGCACTATGGGAGCGCCACCCGGATCGCTACGAGCAGGTGGGTGGTAGTGGATTAGGCGAGTTCACTTCCTTACAATGTAGCTCTCAATTTCCCAATCTACTGTGCGTCTCAATCTACAGTGCATTCAGAAAGTATTCAGACCCCTTTTTACCACATTTTGTTACGTTACAGCCTTATTCTAAACTGGATTAAATAAAAAAATACATATCCAATTGGTAGTTACAGTCTTGTTCCATCGCTGCAACTCCCGTATGGACTCGGAAGAGGTGAAGGTCGAGAGCCATGCATCCTCCGAAACACGACTCTGCCAAGCCGCTCTGCTTCTTGACACACTGCTCGCTTAACCCGGACGCCAGCCGCACCAATGTGTCGGAGAAAACACCGTACAACTGCCGACTCAAGTCAGCGTGCATGCGCCCGGCCCGCCACAAGGAGTCGCTAGAGCGCGATGGGACAAGGACATCCCGGCCAGCCAAACCCTCCCCAAACCCGGACGACGCTGGGCCAATTGTGTGCCGCCTCATGGGTCTCCCGGTCGCGGACGGCTGCGACACAGCCTGGGATTGAACCCGGGTCTGTAGTGACGCCTCTAGCACTGCGATGCAGTGCCTTATACTGATGCGCCACTTGGGAGGCTCATCCTCATCAATCTACACACAATACCGCATAATGACAAAGTGAAAATAGGTTGTTAGAAATTTTTGCAAATGTATAACAAATAAAAAACAGAAATACTTTATTTACATAAGTATTCAGACCCTTTGCTATGAGACTCGAAATTGAGCTCAGGTGCATGCTGTTTCCATTGATCAACCTTGAGATGTTTCTACAACTTGATTGGAGTCCTCCTGTGGTAAATTAAATTGATTGGACATGATTTGGAAAGGCACACACCTGTCTATATAAGGTCCCGTAGTTGTGTATGGCGCCGGAGAAGATGGCTGCCGTTTTACAGCCCTCTAACCAATTGTACTATTATGTGTGTTTTTTCGCGTTATTTGTAATTTTTTCTGTACATAATGTTTCTGCCACCGTCTCTTATGACCAAAAAGAGCTTCTGGATATCAGGACAGCGATTACTCACCTCGTATTGGACGAAGATTTTTTCTTCAACGAGTCGGACGCGAAGGATATTCTACAGACACCCAAACAAGGCCCAAATCCCCGTCATTCGCATGAGAAAGAGACGGAGATATCGTGGACGTAGGTCGGGGTGCCTTGTAAGGATCCGACGGCGAGCGAGTAAACTGCCTCTTCCATCAATCCTATTAGCCAATGTTCAATCATTTGAAAACAAATTGGATGACTTAAGACTAAGGTTATCCTACCAACGGGACATTAAAAAACTGTAATATCTTATGTTTCACCGAGTCGTGGCTGAACGACGACATGAATAACATACAGCTAGCGGGCTATACGCTACATCGGCAGGATAGAACGGCTGACTCCGGTAAGACAAGGGGTGGCGGTCTGTGTATATTTGTAAACAACAGCTGGTGCACAAAATCTAATACTAAGGAAGTCTCGAGGTTTTGCTCGCCTGAGGTAGAGTATATTATGATAAGCTGTAGACCACACTATTTACCAAGATACTTTTCATCTATATTTTTTGTAGCTGTCTACCACCACAAACCGATTCTGGCACTAAGATTGCCCTCAATGCGCTGTATAAGGCCATAAGCAAACAGGAAAATGCTCATCCAGAGGCAGCGCTCCTTGTGGCCGGGGACTTTAATGCAGGGAAACTTAAATCCGTTCTACCTAATTTCTATCAGCAGGTTAAATGTGCAACCAGAGGGAAAAAAACTCAAGACCACCTTTACTCCACACACAGAGATGCATACAAAGCTCTCCCTCACCCTCTATTTGGCAAATCTGACCATAACTCTATCCTCCTGATTCCTGCTTATAAGCAAAATCTAAAGCAGGAAGCACCAGTGACTCGGTTAATAAAAAAGTGGTCAGATGATGCTAAGCTACAGGACTGTTTTGCTAGCACAGACTGGAATATGTTCTGGGATTCTTCAGATAGCATTGAGGAGTACACCACATCAGTCACTGGCTTCATCAATAAGTGCATCGATGACGTCGTCATACATACATACCCCAACCAGAAGCCATGGATTAAAGGCAACATCCGCACTGATCTAAAGGGTAGAGCTGCCGCTTTCAAGGAGCGGGACTCTAACCCCGGAAGCTTATAAGAAATCCCGCTATGCCCTCCGACGAACCATCAAACAGGCAAAGTGTCAATACAGGACTAAGATTGAATCGTACTACACCGGCTCTGACGGTCGTCGGATGTGGCAGGGCTTGAAAACTATTACAGACTACAAAGGGAAGCACAGCCGCTAACTGCCCAGTGACACAAGCCTACCAGACGAGCTAAATCACTTCAATGCTCGCTTTGAGGCAAGTAACACTGAAGCATGCATGAGAGCACCAGCTGTTCCGGATGACAATGTGATCACGCTCTCCGTAGCCGATGTGAGTAAGACTTTTAAGCAGGTCAACATTCACAAGGCCGCAGGGCCAGACGGATTACCAGGACGTGAACTCCGAGCATGTGCTGACCAACTGGCAAGTGTCTTCACTGACATTTTCAGCATGTCCCTGACTGAGTCTGTAATACCAACATGTTTCAAGCAAACCACCATAGTCCCTGTGCCAAAGGACACTAAGATAACCTGCCTAAATGACTACCGACCTGTAGCACTCAAGTCTGTAGCCATGAAGTGCTTTGAAAGGCTGGTCATGGCTCACATCAACACCATTATTCCAGAAACCCTAGACCCACTCCAATTTGCATACCGCCCCAACAGATCCACAGATGATGCAATCACTATTGCACTCCACACTGTCATTTCCCATCTGGACAAGAGGAACACCTACGTGAGAATGCTATTCATTGACTACAGCTCAGCGTTCAACACCATAGTGCCCTCAAAGCTCATCACAAAGCTAAGGATCCTGGGACTAAACACCTCCCTCTGCAACTGGATCTTGGACTTCCTGACGGGCCGCCCCTAGGTGGTAAGGGTAGGTAACAACACGTCTGCCACGCTGATCCTCAACACGGGGGCCCCTCAGGGGTGCGTGCTCAGTCCCCTCCTGTACTCCCTGTTCACCCATGACTGCATGGCCAGGCACGACTCCAACACCATCATTAAGTTTGCCGACGACACAACAGTGGTAGGCCTGATCACCGACAACGATGAGACAGCCTATAGGGAGGAGGTCAGAGACCTGGCCGTGTGGTGCCAGGATAACAACCTCTCCCTCAGCGTGATCAAGACAAAGGAGATGATTGTGGACTACAGGAAAAAAAAAGAGGACTGAGCTTGCCCCCATTCTCATCGACGGGGCTGTAGTGGAACAGTTTGAGAGCTTCAAGTTCCTTGGTGTCCACATCACCAACGAACTATCATGGTCCAAACACACCAAGACAGTCGTGAAGAGGGCACGACAAAACCTATTTCCCCTCAGGAGACTGAAAAGATTTGGCATGGGTCCTCAGATCCTCAAAAAGTTATACAGCTGCACCATCGAGAGCATCCTGACTGGTTGCATCACCGCTTGGTATGGCAACTGCTCGGCCTCCGACCGCAAGGCACTACAGAGGGTAGTGCATACAGCCCAGTACATCACTGGGGCCAAGCTTCCTGCCATCCAGGACCTCTATACCAGGCGGTGTTAGAGGAAGGCCCTAAAAATTGTCAAAGACTCAAGCCACCCTAGTCATAGACTGTTCTCTCTGCTACCGCATGGCAAGCGGTATAGGAGCGCCAAGTCTAGGTCCAAAAGGCTTCTCAACAGCTTCTACCCCCAAGCCATAAGACTCCTGAACAGCTAATCATGGCTACCGGGACTATTTGCACTGCCCCCCACCCCACCCCATCCCCCTCTTTTACGCTGCTGCTACTCTGTTTACTATTTATTCATAGTCACTTTAACTCTACCCACATGTACATATGACCTCAATTACCTCGACTAGCCGGTGCCCCCGCACATTGACTCTGTACCGGTACCCCCTGTATATAGCCTCCCTACTGTTATTTTAATTTACTGCTGCTCTTTAGCTATTTGCTTTTTTACATTTTTTTATTAACACTTTTATTTTACATTTTTCTTTTAAAAAACTGCATTGTTGGTTAAGGGCTTGTAAGTAAGCATTTCACTGTAATGTCTACACCTGCTGTATTTGGCGCATGTGGCAAATACATTTTGATTTTATTTGATTTTGACAGTGCATGTCAGAGCAAAAACCAAGCCATGAGGTCGAATGAATTGTCTGTAGAGCTCTGAGACAGGATTGTGTCGAGGCACAGATCTGGGGAAGGGTACCAACACATTTCTGCAGCATTAAAGTCCCCAAGAACACAGTGGCCTCCATTCTTAAATGGAAGAAGTTTGGAACCACCAAGACTCTTCCTAGAGCTGGCCGCCCGGCCAAACTGAGCAATCGGGGGAGAAGGGCCTTGGTCAGAGAGGTGACCAAGAACTCGATGGTCACTCTGACAGAGCTCCAGAGTTCCTCTGTGGAGATGGGAGAACCTTCCAGAAGGACAACCATCCCTGCAGCACTCCACCAATCAGACCTTCATGGTAGAGTGGCGAGACGGAAGCCACTCCTCAGTAAAAGGCACATGACAGCCCTCTTGGAGTTTACCAAAATGCACCTAAAGGACTCTCAGACCATCAGAAACAAGATTCTCTGGTCTGATGAAACCAAAATGGAAGTCTGGCCTGAATGCCAAGTGTCACGTCTGGAGGAAACCTGCCACCATCCCTACGGTGAAACATGGTGGTGGCAGCATCATGCTGTGGGGATGTTTTTCAGCAGCAGGGACTGGGAGACTAGTCAGGATCGAGGGTAAAGATGAACGGAGCAAAGTACAGAGAGATCCTTGATGAAAACCTGCTCAGCAGCTCAGACTGGGGTGAAGGTTCACCTTCCAACAGGACAACAACCCTACGCACACAGCCAAGACAACGCAGGGATGGCTTCAGGACAAGTCTCTGAATGTCCTTGAGTGGCCCAGCCAGAGCCTGGACATGAACCCGATCCAACATCTCTGGAGAGACCTGAAAATAGCTGTGCAGTGACGCTCCCCATCCAACCTGACAGAACTTGAGAGGATCTGCAGAGAATGGGAGAAACTCCCCAAATACAGGTGTGCCAAGCTTGTAGCGTCATACCCAAGAAGACTCGAGTCTGTAATCGCTGCCAAAGACGCTTCAACAAAGTACTGAGTAAAGGGTCTGAATACTTATGTAAATCTTATATTTACATTTGATATTTTTAATACATTTGCAAACATGTCTAAAAACCTGTTTTTGCTTGGTCGTTATGGGGTATTGTGTGTAGATTGATGAGGATTTATATATTTAAAAAATCCATTTCAGAATAAGGCTGTAACGTAACAAAATGTGGAAAAATTCAACGGGTCTGAATACTTTCCGAATACACTGTATATCTATGTCTGTCTGTCCGTCTTTCCATCCACCTACATGAAATCCATCCGTTATTGTTGTAGCTGTGCCAGAAGAGCCTTACGTCGCCCCACCAGGCCTCCAGACAGATCCAGTTGGACCTGTACCGCACTCTCACCACCAATCAGCACTTCTCCTCACCCTCCAGCCCCGCCCTGCAGCAGCTCCAACGAATCCTGCTGGCCTTCTCCTGGCAAAACCCCACCATCGGCTACTGCCAGGGCCTCAACAGGTGCACAAGACTCCCTAAATTCGTCAGCAGTGTGGTCAATAAAATATAAAATACAGCGAAATACTGCCACCTAATAGACAAAGCAGTACACTGATATATAGTGGCGACTCCGAAACAATACCTACACAATGTTCTCAGCTTATGAAAGCCTGATGAAGACAATTATATTTTTGTGAAAATAGATTTGTCTTGTCTAAAGCATTTTCCTCTGACTATAACAGGCTTTAGATATACCATACAAGCTTTCACAGACTTCAAAACAATCTATAGAATATGGGGTGCTGTGTGGCTTAGTTGGTAGAGCATGGTGCTTGCAACACCATAATTGTGGGTTCGATTCCCACGGAAGACCAGTACTGTAAAACATTTTTTAAATGTATGCTCTGGATAAGAGCGTCTGCTAAATGACTAAAAATGTCCAATTAATGTCAAAGAACAACTATGACATTGGCCTCTCCCTTCAGGCTGGCAGCCATAGCTCTCCTGGTGCTGGAGAGTGAGGAGGATGCCTTCTGGTGTCTAGTAGCTGTGGTGGAGGCTGTCATGCCCCAGGACTACTACACCAAAACACTCATATCCTCGCAGGTAATGATTCGGCTCGAAGGACCAACCTTTTGAAAATATATGGTTTTAAACAACTATAGATGCATAACATAAATAGTACTTGTTACTTTGTAATAACAATTGTGCAACATCATGGAAGTTGTGGATTTAGTTTAACTGATTTAGTCCGTTTTAGTTCTGCATCTGTTCCAAAACATGGAACTGATACTGAAATAGCGCATACATTTAATGAACGACGTACTGAATTCAAGATTTCTCATATCATGTCAATATCTGTTAACGCCATCTGCTGATGTGACCCAATGTGACATGGTGTATGTGTGGATGTTGCAGGCAGACCAGTGTGTTCTAAAGGACTTCATGGCTGAGAAGATACCCCGGTTGGCGGCTCACTTTGAGGAGCACAGCGTGGACGTGTCCCTCATCACATTCAACTGGTTCCTGGTGGTGTTCGTAGAGAGCCTGCCCAGCGATATCCTCCTGCGAGTGTGGGACGCCTTCCTCTACGAGGGCACTAAGGTACCATGCCTGAGAGAGACTAGAGCCAGGGGTATTCAAATTTGGGCCTCAATGACTGACCTGGTGTAAAATTATTATTATTAGTAGTAAATAAACCACGTCTAATGTAAACATGCGTGCATGTTTTTTGTGCAGGTGATATTTCGGTATGCCCTGGCTCTGTTCAAGTACAAAGAGGAGGACATCTTGAAGATCCATGACAGCGTGGAGATCTACCAATACCTGCGCTTCTTCACCAAGACCATCGCTGACGGCAGGTGAGGGGCCACAAAAATCATCTAAGGTCAAAATATGGAGGCAGTGTTATGAAAAAATAGCACTATATTAGGTCAGTGTTTCTCTAGTGGGACAGGAACCACTATAGCAGAGATCTTAAACTCCTGGAGGACTGGTGTGCATGTTTTTGTTACAGCCCAGCACTAACACACCCCTAAGTGGTTTTTGCACCATTCCACCAAATCACATTTAGCTTGTCATTTGTAACCTGTTCAACTGTTGTATTATCTAAATGGTTTGGGGTTTTTGTCCTGTACCTACTGAGCCCATTGTTTTTCTGGTGCCCTATTTAGTCGGTGTGTTAATGGCGGAGCAGACGGAGGAGCTATTTTTGCCGTAGGCCAAGACAGACATCACCATATATAATTCAGATAGCAGCAGTGACGGCAGAGCTATGGGCTCAACACATATGGGAGATAACAAGAGGCTATACAGCCAGAGGAGTGCATTGAGGGCAGTATTCACCACTGTCTGTCTATTATCTCCAAACAAAGAGCAGATGAGATACCAGGGCTATGTTTACACAGGCAGCCCAATTGATCTTTTTTTCATTAAGTGGTCTTTTGATGTGAAAAGATCGGATGTGATTAGTGGAAAAAATATCAGAATTGGGCTGCAACACAGCCAGGATGACTTACTCGGCATCATTTTATCTGAAACTCCTGTCTGACCAATGCATACATGTCCAACCACACACAGAGATGGAGCTATTGCTCCTGTAAGTCGCTCTGAGCGTCTGCTAAATGACTAAAATGTCAATGAGCTAGATCTAGGGTTAGGACAATACAGCTTGTTACCATGCAGCCTGCAGACTTAAATTCTACTGTATGGAAATAAGCAGGTTGAGTAATATTGGGCTCGCCTTACCCTTCTCCCTCCAATAGGAAGCTGACTAATATTGCCTTCAGTGACATGAACCCGTTCCCCATGAAGCTGTTGAGGAACCGGCGTGCACTGCATCTGGAGCGCCTGCAGGGGGAGCTCAAAGAGCTGGAGGCCCAGCAGAGGGAGTTTGTCACCGAGAGCGCCGAGCGTAAGGACAAGGACCTGGACACTATACTGGTCAGCGAGGACGATGAGGAGCTGTAGTGACCGTCAGGGACTCTGGACAGAGAGGGATGGCAATGAACCCTGTGGATTTACTAGGCAACAGGTTTGAAAGGCCATCTTGTAGAACAGGGTTTCTCAAACTAGGTCCTGGGGCCCCCCCTGGGTGCACGTTTTGGTTTTTGCACTAGCACTACACAGCTGATTCAAATAATCAAAGCTTGATGATGAGTTGGTTATTTTAAATCAGCTGTGTAGTGTTAGGGCAAAAACCAAAACGTGCATCCCTTGGGGACCCCAGGACCGAGTTTGGGAAAAGCTGTTGTAGACTATGGAAGGGCCATCTTGTTAGTGGCCAAGCTGGTGCAGATTTGACCCAGGATACATTTTTGATGTTTGTTTTGTGCCTTTTTGAAGGTAAATAATGTCAGTTGTAGTCAAGAACACTAAATCTGACCAACCATATTCTCACTGAATTGTTGAATTAGTATTATTTACTGCATATGCACTGCCAAAGGAATTAATGTCAAAGACACAATTTACACATTACTACAGTAGTCATTTCAAACTTTGATCATGTTATGTAGATTTTTATATGTTTCAATCGCATATTTTGTCCATATGCATGTTATTTGAGTTACTCTTTTAAATATGCCATGTGAACTTTTCTTGATGTAGCTACACAAGTGTTATGAAATGTAATGTCATGTAATATTTTAAATTGTATATAATTGCCTTAATGTTGCTGGACCCCAGGAAGAGGCAGCAGCTAATGGAGATCCTTAATAAATACAAATACACTACATGTTTTAAGTATGTGGACACTTCAAATTAGTGGATTAGGCTATTTCAGCCACACCCGTTGCTAACAGGAATATAAAATCGAGCACACAGCCATACAATCTCCGTAGACAAACATTGGCAGTAGAATGGCCTTACTGAAGAGCTCAGTGACTTTCAACGGGGCACCGTCATAGGATGCCACCTTTCCAACAAGTCAGTTCATCAAATTTCTGCCCTGCTAGAGCTGCCCCGGTCAACCGTAAGTGCTGTTATTGTGAAGTACAACACTCACTAGAGTTCCAAACTGCCTCTGGAAGCAACGTCAGCACAAGAACTGTTCATCGGGAGCTTTGTGAAATGACATTCCGCAGCCGCACTCAAGCCTAAGATCACCATGCGCAATGCTAAGCGTCGGCTGGAGTGGTGTAAAGCTCGTCGCCATTGAACTCTGAAGCAGTGAAAATACATTCTCTGCAGTGATGAATCACGCTTCACCATCTGGCAGTCTGATGCATGAATCTGGGTTTGGCGGATGCCAGGAGAACGCTACCTGCCCGAATACATAGTGCCAACTGTACATTTCGGTGGAGGAGGAATAATGGTCTGGGGCTGTTTTTCATGGTTCGGGCTAGGCCCCTTAGTTCCAGTGAAAGGAAATCTTAACACTACAGCATTAACAAAATGACATTCTAGACGATTCTGTGCTTCCAACTTTGTGGCAACAGTTTGGAGAAGGCCCTTTCCTATTTCAGCATGTCAATGCCCCCGTGCACAAAGCGAGGTCCATACAGAAATGGTTTGTCAAGATCAGTGTGGAAGAACTTGACTGGCCTGCCCTCAACCCCATCGAACACCTATGGGATGATTTGGAACACCGACTGCAAGCCAGGCCTAATCACCCCAACATCAGTCCCAACCTTGTGCCGACCTCACTAATGCAGCAATGTTCCAACATCTAGTGGAAAGCCTTCCCAGAAGAGTGGAGGCTGTTATAGCAGCAAAGGGGGGGACCAACTCCATATTAATGCCCATGATTTTGGAATGAGATGTTCGAACAGGTGTCCACATACACTACATGACCAAAAGTATGTATAATGTACACTACAATTGACAGTCAACGACAAGTTTACATTTTCCAATTTATTACCTTTTTTAAAAAACAAATATACATAAGAAATAATAAATATAAAAAAATCAAACTAAACAATGTTGTCCAATGTTACAAACAACCTTACTGCAGAGAAATAGCTAAAAGCTAGTGTTACCAGACAATTTAAACTGATGGGTTGCCTATTCATAACAGTATCTTTTTCTAGGACTTGCCCATTCCTGTGTGACAAGAATAGACGCGCAGTTTGTTTCCAAGACAAGAGGTTGACTCATCTGGAAAAACAGTGGCTTTGTTGCTGAGTAAAGCGCTTGTTCTATCAGTAAAGTCAGTGGTAAGTCACGTGGATCTAATGCCGTAATATTCACACCCTACAAAGATGGCTCGCCCTGAAAAGGGAGCGAGGATCAAACCGGGACGGAAAACATGCAAGTTGTCTATGGTCCATTGTTTTGAGTAGCTACTGGCTTTTACAATACTGACTCTTCCAAGTAGTAGGGCCTCACATCTCAGCTGTTCCCAGAGCAGCTTGCCTTACAGGCAAATGAAAAGAAAACGAAACCAGAACTAAAAAAATGAACACACCATCAGTGGTCCCCCATTTAGCACAACACTGTCTCTGTCCAAGTTTTGTCAGTGTCGGAGTTTCCCATTGTGTGCGTCGACTGGTAGAGTTTGGCAAACAGAACGGCGTGTACAGTCAGACATAAGGCCAAGAGAAACAGTCCCTCGGTCATAGTCTTGGTTTTCTATGATGGACACATACCCATCAATGACATGTCCTTTTCATATAATTGCAGTTAGAGTTATCAGTAGTATGCCCTGTGCCATAAGTGGATTCCTTGATTGCACTAGGCATCTTTCAGGGCAGGTTTGCTCACTTCGGAAGGTTCCGTCCTCTGAAACATCTCTATATTATACTGACTGACTGAGCTAGACATTTTCAACTATAACTATTTTACAGATATCTTAAATTGATCTTAGTGTTGAAATGTATACCATCTTAGTGCAATTCTTAACATGCTTTGAGCATTAGATTTCTGTGGCAACGACAATTCGGTTAGACTTTTAATTAATTTTTTTACATGCATGCTCTTCATATTTTCTAGGTAAATCCTAGTGTACGGTCTAGTGCAGGGTTCTTCAATTCCGGTCCTGGAGGGCCGAAACACCTCTGTTTTTCATCCTCTCCTTCTAATCAGGGGCTAATTCAGACACTGGGACACCAGGTGAGTGCAATTAACTACCAGGTAGAAATAAAAAACAGAAGTGTTTCGGCCCTCCAGGACCGGAATTGAAGAACCCTGACTCTAGTGTATACCTGGAGAAAAAGCGCACCAAAATACTTTTGTTTTCCTGTCTTGAAACGTTAATGTTTTTGTGAAGGACGGCTGGCGCTTGTTCTCTCACACAAGAGGCTGAAAATGAAAGGTTATCATGTGAACAGTCACAGCCATCTCTCCTTTCAACAACATTGAAAATATCCACCGGGATCACTTAACAATATCAGAATACTATTCATTGTTGTCAACACATTATTAAACTCCCATTACAAAATAACTGCATACATCATAATGTGCAATTCATACCATTCTGAATCCCTTCACATAAACAAAAAAGGTAGCATTTTCTGACTTAGATCAATAAAAGAAAAGAAAAAAAAGGGGGACAAAGTTGTTCTTCAGTCGCTCCGATGGATTCAGTACTCTTGGTATCAAATACACAAATCTACTGCAAAAAGAAGAGGGGACTTTAAGGCTTACAGCACTTCTACTATTCTATTCTATTAATATTATATTACTACTTCTATTATACACTTAGGGGAGTCACAGCACATCGCAGCCTATGGAACCGGTTAAGGCAAAGTGCGAGTTTGTGTCCCTCTCACCTAACATCACAGAGATGCTATCGCTATGCCAGGAACGTTTGTCTTGAAAAACTGTAGTGCAAGTAGGAAGACATTTTTGTAGTGGTAAATACTGACAGTGTTGCGTTATTGCTTGAGGGCTACAAAGTCAGTTCGCTTTCTACTTCCCACAACAGTGGACGAGGACTCCAATTAGGTCAAATGTCCATCAATCCAAATTAAAAAGACTGACCAGTTTGATGAATAAACCAAGTGAATCAATAAACTAGGGGACAATGGGTTGAGTTCTAAGAAAAGCAACAGACTTTGCAGCCCTCTGGATAGTTCTCTCTGTTAATGTCATGCCCAGTTCAAAATGAACCCTTAGTTCCCTAGTAGGTAAACTAGTGTAGCATAGCCAGATCAGGGCCTAACATAAGGACAATTCAGAGTATGCTATTCTGTTCTTCTGAAATAGACTACATTTTCTTCGTATCATGTTTCTTTAGACCTGTCTAAAATAACTAATGGATTTTTATTGTGATGGTGTAGGCTATATTAAATGGATTTATTATACTTTTTTAAATGTAGATGTTCCAAAGGTCTGCATCAGTGGCTTGTAGGCTATGCGTGGAAGCCAGGAGATGCTAAATGTGTTTGTTAATTAACGGTCAATTACTGTGAGACAAGCAGATACTTGCTTGACAATCACCGGCTGACAAAATGTCATGACCGTCACAGCCCTAGTCCCTACCCCTAGAAACTTCTCATGGTCACTTGTATATCTAAGAAGTGTCTAGGTGAAGGGGGGATAGACTTCCAATCGGCAGTAACTGTCTCTGCGTCCCTCCAAACCATGGGAGCTAGCAGTTGTATTACCGCATCCTCTCGGTTTCTGTACATCCCAAAAATTTAAGAAAAATAAATAAATCACAGCCAGCCTTGAAAAAAAACGTTGCACTCTGGTAAAAATACACCTACTTTCAAAACAAAAACACTCTTCCATGGCGCAGAATTCAAATGCAAACGTGAGTCTAACATACTTAGGTTTCAGTGGTTGATTAAAAACACATCTAAGTGCTATATCATTGAATGACAAACAAGTCCAACCCAAAGTGATTCAATCGATTTTAGTACTGTGTTTGACTAGATGGCAATTATTTTTTTTAGTCTTATAAAAACGGACATCACTACGAAAAATGCATCAGCCTTTTAAAATATGCAGGGCTTCAATATAAAGTGCTTCATTACATCGTTATTTATTTTTTTACAGTTTCTTATTAAAATATTGTATTCCCTGGAGTGAAACCATAGTAAACATGTTACACATTGGTAAAAATAAACATTTTGGAATGTCTTTTTAAAAAGTCCCATTAGGTGATTTTGGTCAAGCTGAACTTGTTCCTGGAGCCTGGAAAGCAAAGTTATTCAAGTGTTATTACTCCATTCACAGTATCGTATGCAGTCATTAAAAAAGTATTTGGATGGTAAAATAATGGAATGGGTGAAAAAAAAGGGTTAGATCCATTTCCAAGCCGTTCTGAAAATGAATAAAAATGGACGAGAAGAGGTTACAGAAAATAAAATAGACACCATGCAGTGGAGTGGTGATGAGGTTAGGGGATCCATCTTGTGCCGTGAAGGCTGGACATTCAAAGGAGGGCTGAGGAATACGCCTGTGTATCCTTGTGCAAAAGCTGACTTGCTGCTGTCATCAATACTGATGATTGTGCATTATGACAAATACACATAGCTTATTATTTTTAACTACTGGAGGAGATACTAATACCTCTATAATACCAAAGTACAAGACTAATTGTCCCCATGTGCTATCTGAGTGGATCTAGGAGATAAGAAAAGGCCTTGTCCCCATGTGCTATCTGAGTGGATCTAGGAGATAAGAAAAGGCCAAATCTACAAGTAAACAGATGTGCATAGTTGCCAATTTCAGTAGCTCCTAACAGCTGTCTAAATAATTCCGGCAGGAAATCCAGTAGCACGGTACATTAGACGGGAAAGAAGAGTCATACATCCATCTCCCCATTGGTCCCTTCTAGCATTGCACAATCAAACTGCCATTGTTGCTGCTCACTGCTGTTTACTTTGGGGGGGGGGCAGACTGTTCATTTCGTACTGTTCATTTGCCCCCCCATCTTTCTAAGCTGACAGCTGATTATCTGCACTACCAGACATGTCCCTCTCTACCAAAAAGCACCATGGTGATGAAAAGGCAAAAAAAAACTAACAAATGTACACTTCAGGTTCAAGATAGCCAGGAGATGACAGGTGAGAAGAAAGAAAACCGATGTAAAAAAATAAAAAATAAGAGGGATGGTATAGTTCGGTGAGAAAAGTGAGTTAGTAGAGATGAGGGTGAGGGGGATGCCGTGGTTGTGCATTAGTTAGCATGCGTTAGCTAGCATGCGAAGAAGACTGTTTAGGTGGCTTTGGTTGTGGCTGAGGCACGACAGCAGTGGAGGGTTTCTGGAGCAGTGTGACGAAGAGGAAGAGTGTGGAGGTGGGCAGGTAGACGCAGAAGAAGAGGACCATGTCCTCGGTAAGGCAGAGGAGCAAGGGGACCACGGTACTCTGCTCCCCCAGGGCCCAGTCCACCAGCACCCCGGCCAGGAGGTAATACACATGGAACTCCTGCAGCTCCTCCCACTCTCCCCCGCCTCCGTCCAAGCCCCAGCCCACCTCCTCAGTGTCTCCACCTGCGTTGCCGCCCCCTCCACTGTCACTCACCATGGGCTTCATCTCCGCCCCCTCCACCGACACTGCCTCTGTGGGCCGGCTCCGCCCTCGCTCCACCACCCGCTCCAGCTTCCTGCTGTTTTCCACAAACTCCTGCAGGGGGGAAATGGAAAACAATGTGTCAAACCATGTGCTGAAACGCACCTGGTCGGTTGATATACTCTTAATATACCATGTGAATGCATTTCCTTCATCATTAAAACCACAGAATCCTTAGCTTTATCGTACTAAAGTTTCAAAGCGAATACCTATATTCCTAATTACCATATTACTTACGAGTGCCCCAAAACTTGTGTATTGTAGCTTATATAATCTTAAACCTAACATTTCTAACTGGGCTAGTCGGGCCTAATTATAAACAATTTTAAAAAATGTATGAATATTATGGAGCTACTGCTGAGTCACAAACAAAGAATATTTTCCATTTCCTGTCAGCTTCTACATTTTTAAACATCCATCCAGAGAACAACTCCAGTCAAGAAGGCTCCCTTCTGATTTCTCCCACTACCGCTCATTAATGTTCAAGGTTGTGTGCTACATGAAACAAGCCACTTTGCATATTTTGTGAGCTTTTTTCCCCTGATATGCCTGACAAGTGTGCTGACAGCTCTCCCAAAAGATGAGTTTAAGGTTACGGAATAAAATAATTTCAATGCCACATTTTGAATACATGTTCATCCCTGGGTGATTTTGAGTTGTAGGATAAATGGATCATCCAAAGATGCATGTAGTGAGAGGGAAAATGCAAATAAATAAATGTTGTGTTCAACTTCTCAAATGAACAGCAGGACTCAAAAATATATATTTTTTTGCATAGATAGACCTGCCATGTTGGACCAAAATGTTTGAATACCATTCTACTGTCATGACCATTGCTCATAGTCATCCCAATAAACAAACCACACTCCTACATACATGTGCAAATAAACACATACATTGCACTCTCCATTTCAACAAAGTCCCACCAGTATACCATATCCTCACGTAGCTTACCATCAGGGCTTTGTCCATGTAGAACTCTCTGCCCGGTGTGCCGTCGTTGTATTTGGTGTCGATGGCGAAGCAGAGGAAGAGCACATCCACCACGATCTCGAAGATGGACAGGAAGCAGTGGGCCACCAGGAAGGCAAAGAGGCAGACGATGATGAGAGGGAGGACCCACTCTGCGTAGTCCCGCTGGTAGTTCAGTAGCAGTACGCCGGCGAACGCTGTGGACGTCACGATCAGGATCTGACCGCACACACAGAAGTAAGATTAGCATCAGTGACATGATGCTGATGACGACTGACTGCATTAGTTACATCCTGCATTAATAAAGTGCCATCCTCTTATAAAAATCAACCCCATCCCATTTTAATTCTTGAAACGGATTCATTCTTAAAAAGTCCATTGTAAGTATAGGGATCAACGTCCACTACTCTGAAGCCCTCCAGTATCCCAGCAGCCCCCTCACCTTGCCAAGGAAGAGGACAAAGTCTCCCACGGCGTTGATGGCCGCCACCCTCAGAGCGTTCTCCACCAGGATCACAAAGGCGTCACGCGCCGACGTACAGAAACTGGTACTGTTGATGGCTGTCGCCGCATACGCATTCTACACACACACTACAATCACTACAGCGAACAAGCTGGATACGAAACATCTAACATCTCTTCATCCATCCTTATTTACAATGATCCAATTAGGGGGAAAGAAAGAGCTCTTACCTGATTCAAATAGTTGAGGCACTTCTCCAAACACCACAGGCAGCAGATACAGGTCTTCAACATGCAGCGAGCACATGCATTTTCCTGTGTGAGATAGAGAGGTATCCGAGGTGCACTACTTTTAAAAAAATAGATACAAATGCTTAGAAAAAATGGCCCCGCAGAGCTCCAGAACTTGTCTTACATCGAGGCTAAACCAAAAGAGAAGCATGCATAGACCCAAAGTCAGATTGCTGTACCCAACTTTGTGGCTCTGTTTCGGAGCGTTAGTTACCTCCCCTCTCAGAGCTCTAATGATCATTTATCCCTTCAATTCAGTATGGTGCAGGGTGTCTCTCCATTGATCAAGTCAAGCAACAACACTTGGGATGTGACAACAAACAGCAAGGACAACAGACACTAGTTTAGGAGAATAAAGCAAAATACCTGTAAGAAATAGCATGATAATAATATCGTAATGTGGTTTACCAGATGTGTTTATCCTAAATGAGTAACAGTTCAAATCTATAGTAATTATATATATATATATATATATATATATATATATATATACATATATATTTACACATATACATATTACACATATACACACAGCTGCGGAAAAAATTAAGAGACCACTGCAAAATTATCAGTTTTTCTGGTTTTACTATTTATAGGTATGTATAACATTTTTGTTTTTTTAACATTTCTCCCAAATTCCAAATAAAAAGATTGTCATGTAGAGCATTTATTTGCAGAAAATGACAACTGGTCAAAATAACAAAAAAGATGCAGTGTTGTCAGACCTCGAATAATGCAAATAAAATAAGTTCATGTTCATTTTTAAACAACACAATAGTAATGTTTTAACTTAGGAAGAGTTCAGAAATCAATATTTGGTGGAATAACCCTAATTTTCAATCACAGCTTTCATGCATCTTGGCATGCTCTCCACCAGTCTTTCACATTGATGTTGGGTGACTTTATGCCACTCCTGGCGCAAAAATTCAAGCAGCTCGGCTTTCTTTGATGGCTTGTGACCATCCATCTTCCTCTTGATCACATTCCAGAAGTTTTCAATGAGGTTCAGGTCTGGAGATTGGGCTGGCCATGACAGGGTCTTGATCTGGTGGTCCTCCATCCACACCTTGATTGACCTGGCTGTGTGGCATGGCACATTGTCCTGCTGGAAAAACCAATCCTCAGAGTTGGGGAACAATGTCAGAGCAAAAGGAAGCATGTTTTCTTCCAGGACAACCTTGTACGTGGCTTGATTCATGCGTCCTTCACAAAGACAAATCTGCCCGATTTCAGCCTTGCTGAAGCACCCCCAGATCATCACCAATCCTCCACCAAATTTCACAGTGGGTGCCAGACACTGTGGCTTGTAGGCCTCTCCAGGTCTCAGTCTAACCATTAGACGACCAGGTGTTGGGCAAAGCTGAAAATTGGACTCATCAGAGAAGATGACCTTACTCCAGTCCTCTACGGTCCAATCCTTATGGTCTTTTGCAAACCTCAGCCTGGCTCCTCTTTGCTTCTCATTGATGAAGGGCTTTTTTCTAGCTTTGCACGACTTCAGCCCTGCCCATAGGAGCCTGTTTCGAACCGTCCTCGCCGTGCCCTTCACCCCAGCTGCAGTTTGCCATTCTTTTTGTAGGTCACTTGATGTCATCTTACGGTTGTTGAGTGACATTAGAATGAGTTGGTGGTCATCCCGGTCAGTAGAGAGTCGTTTTCGCCCTCTGCCGGTCTGTAGCTTTGTTGTCCCCAATGTCTGCTGCTTGACCTTGTTCTTATGAACCGCCGTCTTTGAAATTTTAAGGATGGAAGCAACCTGACGCTCACTGTATCCCTCTGCCAGTAAAGCCAGAATTGAACCTCTTTTCCTCACTCAAAACGTTCCTTTTCAACTCTTTTGGCATGGTCAATAGTTATTTTGAGGTACTATTAGCACTGTTTTTGCCATACAGCTGGTCCTATTGCAAGAGGATAGTGATGACCACAATAGTGGTTTTTATACTTTTCCCCGTTAGATAAGATTTGGTTCAGGTGATCACCTAATCAGTACCTAATTCAGTAGAATGAGGTGTGCCTGTGTTGGAATTCAACAGACACTGGAATGGAATGGCTGTCATACATGTAGAGATGCTGATTTAAGAAAAATGTGCAGTGGTCTCTTAATTTTTTCCAGAGCTGTATATAAATAACTCAGCAAAAAATGAAAAAAAAACTGCCCTTTTTCAGGACCTGGCCTTTCAAAGATAATTCGTAAAAATCCAAATAACTTCACAGATCTTCATTGTAAAGGGTTTAAACACTGTTTCCCATGCTTGTTCAATGAACCATAAACAATTAATGAACATGCACCTGTGGAATGGTCGTTAAGACACTAACAGCTTACAGACGGTAGGCAATTAAGGTCACAGTTATGAAAACTTAGGACACTGAAGAGGCCTTTCTACTGACTCTGAAAATGTCCGTCCTGTGAGACGCCTAAGACAGCGCTACAGGGAGACAGGATGGACATCTGATTGTCCTCGCAGTGGCAGACCACGTGTAAACACCTGCACAGGATCGGTACATCCGAACATCACACCTGCGGGACAGGTACAGGATGGCAACAACAACTGCCCGAGTTACACCAGGAACGCACAATCCCTCCATCAGTGCTCAGACTGTCCACAATAGGCTGAGAGAGGCTGGACTGAGGGCTTGTAGGCCTGTTGTAAGGCAGGTCCTCAGACATCACCGGCAACAACGTTGCCTATGGGCACAAACCCACCGTCGATGGACCAGACAGGACTGGCAAAAAGTGCTCTTCACTGACGAGTCGCGGTTTTGTCTCACCAGGGGTGATGGTCGGATACGCGGTTATCGTTGAAGGAATGAGCGTTACACCGAGGCCTGTACTCTGGAGCGGGATCGATTTGGAGGTGGAGGGTTCGTCATGGTCTGGGGGCGGTGTGTCACAGCATCATCGGACTGAGCTTGTTGTCATTGCAGGCAATCTCAACGCAGTGCATTACAGGGAAGACATCCTCCTCCCTCATGTGGTACCCTTCCTGCAGGCTCATCCTGACATGACACTCCAGCATGACAATACCACCAGCCATACTGCTCATTCTGTGCGTGATTTCCTGCAAGACAGGAATGTCAGCCCGGATCTCAATCCCATTGAGCACGCCTGGGACCTGTTGGATCGGAGGGTGAGGGCTAGGGCCATTCCCCCCAGAAATGTCAGGGAACTTGCAGGTGCCTTGGTGGAAGAGTTGGGTAACATCTCACAGCAAGAACTGGCAAATCTGGTGCAGTCCATGAGGAGGAGATGCACAGCAGCATTTAGTATCTGGTGTGGCCACCAGCTGCATTGACTGTTACTTTTTGACCCCCCCACCCCCCTTTGTTCAGGGACACATTATTCAATTTCTGTTAGTCACATGTCTTTGGAACTTGTTCAGTTTATGTATGTCTCAGTTGTTGAATCTTGTTATGTTCATACAAATATTTAAACATGTTAAGTTTGCTGAAAATAAACGCAGTTGACGTTTCTTTTTTTGCTGAGTTTATATATCCCATTTATGAACCAATCCAACAACCCTAATAAATCGCCAGCACTGTGCCAAACCCACCTGAACCTAAAATACATTTGGTATTTTTACTCTGCATAGGACTTTACATTAAACCCTTTCCCTCTATTTTCTTCTGTAAACTGTCCTAAAACAGATCAACCAAAGATAGCAGGTGTCATGTCATTATAGCCAATGTCATGTCACAACAACTGATGTGACACCACGGTCATGTTGGCATTGACTGCAATTTAAATCTACTGGTGACAAGCCAAAACGCTAGCCTTGATTTGCTTGCACACCACTCCATGCAACAGGGCAGTATTTTATTATTCTCTATAAAGTAACATGCCAGAGACAGAGAGACAGACCGAGACAGAGTGAGGCAGTGAGAGAGAGAGAGAGTAAACAGTGTGCTTTACCTTGCCCTTGAGCTGGTTGTGGACGTACATGAGGAAGAGGCGTGGGATTTTGACCAAGGTGATAATGAAGGAGCCCTTGGCTACCGTGCCCAGGTGGTACCTCATCAGCCTCAACACTGACGACAGGATGGGCGTCACCGGCAGCTTGTTCTTGTCCCTGAGACAGGGGGAAGGGACGAAGGATAGAGGGAGAGAGAATACCATAACCACCCTCATCACCACTGACTTCTCCAAGGCCTTTGACAAAAACCGACCATCCCGTCGCCATTGAACTGGGTGTCAGACCTGCCCTCACAGCATGGCTCTGCAGTTTTGTGACCGGCCGCAAACAGGTACACTACAAAGACAGCCTCTCAGACTGGCAGAAACTGACGGAAGGCGTGGCTGAAGGAACTCTTCTGGGCCCTCATCTTCCTTGTGGTCATTGACAGTGCATCCCAGGATATCGACAGTAGGTGGAAATATGTTGACGATCTAAATCTGGTCCACACGTGCACAACAGGGTACGTCAGTACACCACAGCAGGCACTGAACAACTTCGACACATGGGTTCATGCAAGCAGAATGTCACTGAACCCTGCCAAATGCAAGGTCCTATCAGTGGCCTTCACAAGAAATCCACCTGGCCCATGCCCTCTCCGGATCGAGGGCCAGGAGCTCAGTGTGTGATAGCGTGAACAGTTTAGGGGGAATGGTACAGGTCTTACAATGGGGTGAGCAGGTTGCTACTATTGTAATGAAGAGCAACACAAAATGTTCTCCTTCGACACCTTATAAAGGTTCCATGTGCCACAGGAAGACCTGGTGAGCATTTACACCGGCTACATGCGCCACATCCTGGAGTATGTTGCTCCTGCTTGGCACAGCTCACTGACCCAAAGCCCACTCAGAAGAGAGCATGCCACACCCTCCTACGAGGACACTCCAGTTATACTGAGGAGTAGTTTGTTTATTAGGACCTCCATTAAATTTTAGTCATTTAGCAGACGCTCTTATCCAGAGCAACATACATTTAGCTACTGCACATGCAGCAGCTACTCTTCCTGGGGTCCACATAAAACATACAAATATATGACAAGTACAGAACAGTTATAGACAGGAACAAAAGATATTACATTAAATTCAAAATAAAATAGGAGTTAAACACTGAGTATATAGAGTTGAAGTCGGAAGTTTACATACACCTTAGCCAAATACATTTATACTCAGTTTCACAATTCCTGACATTTAATCCTTGTAAAAATGACATGTCTTAGGTCAGTTAGGTTCACCACTTTATTTTAAGAATGTGAAATGTCAGAATAATAGTTGAGAGAATGATTTATTTCAGCTTTTATTTATTTCATCACATTCCAAGTGGGTCAGAAGTTTACATACACTCAATTAGTATTTGGTAGCATTACCTTTAAAAATTGTTTAACTTGAGTCAAACGTTTCTGGTAGCCTTCCACAAGCTTCCCACAATAAGTTGGGTGAATTTTGGCCCATTCCTCCTGACAGAGCTGGTGTAACTGAGTCAGGTTTGTAGGCCTCCTTGCTCGCACACGCTTTTTCACAAATGTTCTATAGGATTGAGGTCAGGGCTTTGTGATGGCCACTCCAATACCTTGACTTTGTTGTCCTTAAGCCATTTTGCCACAACTTTGGAAGTATGCTTGAGGTAATTGTCCATTTGGAAGACCCATTTGCGACCAAGCTTTAACTTCCTGACTGATGTCTTGAGATGTTGCTTCAATATATCCACATAATTTTCCTTCCTCATGATGCCATCTATTTTGTGAAGTGCACCAGTCCCTCCTGCAGCAAAGCACCCCCACAGCATGATGCTGCCACCCCCGTGTTCTTCGGCTTGCAAGCTCCCCTCTTTTTCCTCCAAACATAACGATGGTCATTATGGCCAAACAGTTCTATTTTTGTTTCATCAGACCAGAGGACATTTCTCCAAAAAGTACACTCTTTGTCCCCATGTGCAGTTGCAAACCGTAGTCTGGCTTTTTTATGGCGGTTTTGGAGCAGTGGCTTCTTCTTTGCTGAGCGGCCTTTCAGGTTATGTCGATATAGGACTAGTTTTACTGTGGATATAGATACTTTTGTACCCGTTTCCTCCAGCATCTTCACAAGGTCCTTTGCTGTTGTTGTCACGATCGTCTAAGGAGGAGGACCAATGCGCAGCGTTGAAGGTGAACATATTTATTATATTAATGATCACACGATCAAAACAACAGACGATAACGTGATGTCTACGGTTTAACACAAACCAAATAAGAACAAGAAACCACAAACACAAAGGAAAGAGTTCAAATATGGCTCCCAATCAGAGACAACCAGCTGACACTCGTTGCCTCTAATTGGGAGTCACTCAGGCCAACATAGAAATACAAACTAGAACTCCCAACATAGTAATAGAATACATAGAATTTCACACCCTGGCTCAACATAAGTGTCCCCAGAGCCAGGGCATGACAGTACCCCCCCCTAAAGGCGCGGACTCCGACCGCGCCAACTAAATACCACAGGGGAGGGACCGGGTGGGCACTCCGCCTCGGCGGCGGATCCGGCTCCGGACATGACCCCCACTCCTTCTCTAAACCCCCAAAGTACCCCTGGTCCGGTCTGGCCCTGCTGACCGGAGCTGGACTGCACACTGGTGGAGCGGATAGCTTCAGCTCCGTAGTGGAGCAGTTGACCGGGACCTTACCAGGCACCGGTGACCCAGGCACGGGTTGTGTTGGACTGACGACGCGCACCCCTGGCTTGGTGCGTGGAGGAGGAACGGGCCTTACCAGGCTGACGACGCACACCGTAGGCTTGGTGCGTGGAGCAGGGACAGGCCGGACTGGGCTGACGAAGCACACCACTGACTTGGTGCGGGGAGCAGGAACGGGCCGAGCCGGGCTGACGAAGCGCACCACTGACTTGGTGCGGGGAGCAGGAACGGGCCGAGCCGGGCTGACGAAGCACACCACTGACTTGGTGCGGGGAGCAGGAACGGGCCGGACCGGGCTGACGAAGCGCACCACTGACTTGGTGCGGGGAGCAGGAACGGGCCGCGCCGGGCTGACGAAACTCACCACTGACTTGGTGCGAGTGGCAGGAACAGGCCGGACCGTACTGGGAACACACACCACTGGCCCCACGTGGGGATCAGGAACAGGCCGGACTGGCAACACACGCCAGTACCTCTCGCCGTGCCTCTACATCCTCCATCCCCTCTTCGACCAGTGGCCCCCGTAACCTGGCGGCCTCCTCTGGCAACCCGCTGGGCCGCTCTATCGCGGCCTCCTGCTGGTCCGACGTCGTGAACCCCCCCCTAAAAAAAAATCTGGGAGTCTCTCTTCCCCGTGGGCCAGGCCTCTATAATTCTCGCCCAACTCTCGCTCTTCTGCTTCCAATCTCCGCCATTCAGCTCCTCATTCGGCTTGACCCAGTCGAAGCTCTTCCTCCACTGTTCCCAAGTCCACCCACTCTGCTCCTCATTCGGCTGCTTGGTCCAGTTCTGGTGGTTTCTTCTGTCACGATCGTCTAAGGAGGAGGACCAATGCGCAGCGTTGAAGATGAACATATTTATTATATTAATGATCACACGATCAAAACAACAGACGATAACGTGATGTCTACGGTTTAACACAAACCAAATAAGAACAAGAAACCACAAACACAAAGGAAAGACAGACAGTTTAAATATGGCTCCCAATCAGAGACAACCAGCTGACACTCGTTGCCTCTGATTGGGAGTCACTCAGGCCAACATAGAAATACAAACTAGAACTCCCAACATAGTAATAGAATACATAGAATTTCACACCCTGGCTCAACATAACAGTGTCCCCAGAGCCAGGGCGTGACAGTTGTTCTGGGATTGATTTGCACTTTTCGCACCAAAGTACGTTCATCTCGAGGAGACAGAACGCGTCTCCTTCCTGAGCGGTATGACGGCTGTGTGGTCCCATGTTGTTTATACTTGCGTACTATTGTTTGTACAGATGAACGTGGTACCTTCAGGAGATTGGAAATTGCTCCCAAGGATGAACCAGACTTGGAGGTCTTGGCTGATTTCTTTTGATTTTCCCATGATGTCAAGCAAAGAGGCACTGAGTTTGAAGGTAGGCCTTGAAATACATCCACAGGTACACCTCCAATTGACAGCCTATCAGAAGCTTCTAAAGCCATGACATAATTTTCTGGAATTTTCCAAGCTGTTTAAAAGGCACAGTCAACTTAGTGTATGTAAACTTCTGACCCATTGGAATTGTGATACAGTGAATTATAAGTGAAATAATCTGTCTGTAAACAATTGTTGGAAATATTACTTGTCATGCACAAAGTAGATGTCCTAACCGACTTGCCAAAACCATCGTTTGTTAACAAAAAATGTGTGGAGTGGTTGAAAAACGAGTTAATGACTCCAACCTAAGTGTATGTAAACTTCCGACTTCAACTGTACACAAAACATTAAGAACACCTGCTCTTTCCATGACATAGACGGACCAGGTGAAAGCTATGATCCCTTATTGATGTCACTTGTTAAATCCACTTCAAAATCAGTGTAGATGAAGGAGAGGAGACTGGTTCAATATGGATTTTTAAGCCTTAAGACAATTGAGACATAGATTGTGTATGTGTGCCATTCAGAGGGTGAATGGGCAAGACAAAACATTTAAGTGCCTTTGAACGGGGTATGGTAGTAGGTGCCAGGCGCACCGGTTTGTGTCAAGAACTGCAACACTGCTGGATTTTTCACACTCAACCGTTTCCCATGTGTTTCAAGAATGGTCCACCACCCAAAGAACATCCAGCCAACTTGGAGCATTGGAGTCAACTTGGAGCATTGGAGTCAACATGAGCCAGCATCCCTGTTGAACACTTTCGACACCTTGTAGACTCCATGCCCCGACAAATTGAGGCTGTTCTAAGGGCAAAAGGGGAAGGCACTACTGCATTCTGTAATTAGTTACAAAACAATAGAAATGCAATTGTGTATTGCTGCTGTTTGTCTGATATCCAACAGTCCATGATCAGCTCTGTTGACCATGAGAGCATTTTGCAGAGAAAATGGGTTGTGGTATACTTTTTAGGCTCGGAATGACATAGTTTACCTTGTTACCTGGCAACAACCACAAGAGCGTTTCAAAGAGTGGTCAGTCAAAGTGAACTCATATGAATATAATCTCCCCGCCCACTCAGCCTGTTCTTTCAGGCTTTCTGATAGTTAGAGAGATGAGAGAAAGAGTACACTTTTCAGTTCTGAGCATTATAATAGCATAAAATAATATAATGTTTTGGTAATTCAAAGGCTATTTTTACTTGTGTAATAGGATGACTGTGCGGGACCTTTAAGACCACAGGACATTATTGAATGACTATTCTTATTTTGTTGCTCTTATCCATTAATATTTTGTATGCTCATGGATTTCAGATTGTATTGACTACTACATGAGTGTAATAAAAAGAATGGGAGTAAATTAAAGGAAGCGACAGTAAAAGGGGGGGGCAGAGAGAAGTTTACATTTACATTCTTGTTATTTTCTCTAATTCCTATATCTCTGTGATAACATATTACCCAGAAATACCTAGATTTTGTTTTAAGCTAAACTAATTTCTGTGACAGACGGACAACAAAATCAAATATTGTTACTAAGCATGATTATAGCTGATATCCTTTCAAATAAACATACATTTGTACATAAACAAATCATGAAAACATTTCTGAACCAGACCTTGTGAAGTAGTACGTGACCACGGCCCCAGCTACAGTCATCTGCTGGCAGGCCAGGATGAACTCACTGATCCAGATGAGGCCCACAGCGTGGTACCATGTCATGTACTGCAGAGGCCCAGTCAGCCGGAACTCTGTCAGACCAGTCTCCTCATTCTGGACCGGGTTCCCTGAAGGGGACATGTCAGACTTAGTCTAGTGGTCGGGACTAGTTTGGACATGTTCCTGAATAAGGCCAACCCAGTCAACTGAACTAAACCATAATAGTGCAATGTCCTGTTGTGTTGGAATTAATCACTTACCTATGTAAAGAGGTTTTCCCCTCTCTCCTGTTTTCCCTTCCCTCTCCTGTTTATACCTCATTTTTTCCTCTTTCGCTTCCAGCACAATCACATTCAAAAGAGGACCACTGCCCCTTTCCCCCTCCCTCCCTCCCTCCCTCCCTCCCTCACCGGTGGTCCCGAGGAAGAGCAGCACCAGGCTCCAGTAGAGCCAGAAGAGAAGCAGGCCCAGGAAGGTGCAGAAGGGCTGCAGGGTGAGCAGCGGCAGGTGGATGAACACCTTGCCGGCCACGTGGAACAGGGCGATGGTCAGCGCCACGCGCTTCCTCATGAACAGCATCAGCAGGAGAAGGATCACCTGAGGGGGGGGGGGGGGGGTGAGAGAGAGAGAGGGAGAGAAAGAAGGAGGGGAAAAGGGATGCAAATGAGGGAAGAGAAAAGAGCAAGGTGGGACATGGGAAGGCAAAGGGTGAGAGAGAATGAGAGAGATTAAACAAATGGAAGATGGCCAAGAGGAGAGCGAGAGAGTGAAAGGAAGGTGAAAGAGTCAGTGAGGAGGAGGGGGAGGGGGGAGGTGCCAGGAGTTCAAGATTTCAAAGCTGCGCTAGGCATTCAATCTGAAATGTCACAACACCCCACCCAAAATGTACAAGGCTTGGTTGCCCACAGTCTCCCTTTCATCACAAACACAAACACTAACTGTACTCACTGTGAATACGGTGGCAGCGATGGCATACACCAGCAGCGCCTGGGCATTGTCCCTGGACATCTCTGCTTCCTCCTTAGCATCTTTAGTCTCTGTGGTCTCTTTAGATAGGGTCTCGTTGGCAGTTAACCGGTGGTCTATGTACAGCCACCACAGAATGCTTGTGCCCGCTACAGAAAAACAGAGACTGCTTTTAAGCTGCTGTATCGTTGAGAGATTGAACAGCTGCACACTGCTAAATGCAAAGAGGAATGTCCAAGAATGATCATAGAATTAATGTTAAGTGCAAAACTATGTCACGGTTTTCAGTTCTCCTTGATTGATCAAAACACTGGACAGGAAGTAAGGCCAGGCCAGGAGAGACAGGAAGTGAGCTCACCCAGGGAGCCCAGGACAACCATGGCAGTGAGGATCCAGACCAGTACAGCAGAGATGTAGCGGATGATCACCATCAGGATCATGGAGAGCACTGCAGCACAACACAGGCACAACAGCACTTAAAAACACAGATCTAGGATCAGCTAACCCTGCACTTGGCCTCAACCCCCCCAAAAAATGAATACATCAAAACTGATCATGAATAAGCACCCGGGAGTTCCCCAAGTAAGGATTGAGGATCAGCTCACCATATTCAAATCATTTTCCTTCCTCACTTCCAAGCATAAAATAAACTGGCATTGAATCGACGCATAGTAGGACTTTATCCAACCCTAACCCACATGTACTCTGAAGGTGTCAGCATTAACTCCCAAATGGACAAGTTCATTGCTGCCATGGTATACCCTTTACCTTCGAGCCTTCTTCCTCTCATTCCAAAGAGGGCATACAGTCTCAGGGGAGACTCAAAGATGTGATGACATTGCTGTATTTTTCACCCAGCGCTGCGTTTCTCCACCGTCGATGTCTGACCTACAGTAACTGCCTGTGTACCGACACATCATACCGATATGGAGAAATCAGCAAAACGCACTAGAGCAGGACAGATGTTCCCTATGCAGGTCTATTCTTTACTGGCTCACATTAGGGAAGGCTCAGAGACTAGTGGGTCCCAGAAATACAATGAAGAGTCAGGTTATTCACTCCCACAAGACCAACCCCTCCCACTGGGTTCAGAGACTGAGGCCCTGTCCAGAAACAACCCCTATCCCCTTGCCCTGGCTCTCCATGTAGATCTGAAATAATTGGATAGGAAATATGTAGTAGTTCCACATGTCCCGATAGGTGGAGATTTCACCATATTGCTTATACCTATCCAGCCTCCCCCTGAGATACTGCTGACAACAAACGCCTGCAGAAGCAGTCATCACCTAGCGCCAGCAGGCAGAGGCCCACGATGATCTCCTTGCTGGCCATCACGCCAGCGATCAGCCTGTGCAGCACGCTGTTGTCGCTCACAAACGTCACCACAGCCTCTGCAAACTTGGCATAGCAGGAGACGTCCACCGGCGTGCAGCGGTTGAACACCGGGAGAGATTTGCTGTGGGATGGAGCAAAGTAGAGGTCAAAGGTCACATGACCTGGGAGGTTCTCTAAAACATCATCTCGGATCTACATGACTGGTTAAGTGAAAGTCCTTTAATGGTTCTGAATGAGAAGAGGAAATGAAGCGATCTAAGACTATTGAAATTAGTGATGGGGGGAAAATAATCGATAGTTACATATCGCAATATTCTTTTTGGATGATATTATATTGATACTTTGACTCCAAGTATTTGTAGTTTTTTGTTTTGATATCGAATCGCAATAGAATCGTGAAAATCGCAATACATATCGTATCGGCACCTAAGTATTGTGATAATATCGTATCGTGAGGTCCCTGGCAGTTCCCAGTCCTAATTGAAATGCAGCCCTAATAATACGTTTTCCTACCTTGGTGGAACTGGAAGTTTGGGACATTTGTCGAACCTCTCTGGAAGGCCGGGATATTTGTGACCGGCTAGCTCGTAGGAACACAGCTCCGACCCTGAGTGAAAGAGAGACAAATATATATTTTTTAAGTGCAGCCATACACACGCCAAGCAACATAAGGATGACTAAATGAAATTCAGCCTCCCCAGAAGTGATCAAAATTATAGCTCTATATCGTGTCTAGAACAACATATCCTGATTTCATCATTTTCCCTTTATGCAACTGAGCATGTCATGCATAATGATGGATGAAATCGCATTTCCTCAAAATGTTGTTGTTAACGGTGTTATGCTCACCGCCCCAGGAATTCAGAATCAGCCAGTCGAATCAGAACACAAGACCACTTGAGACAGCAAAGTTACATAAACCCAGCCCAGTCTATCATGGGGGGACATACATGGAGTGCGTCACGATAAGTATATACAGTACTGACAGTAGACACACAAGCCTAGCTGAAGGATGGGTTAGGGTGGCACAAACAATAGTACCCATACAGCAAGGGGTGGCATTGGCCTTAATGGTGTCTTTGTTAATCTAGTTCGCTCTCCACATGTGCCAAGGTGCCCACTGTGCCAGACCGTGTGTGTGTTGAATGAAAGGACAGTATTAAGAGGGTCGATGGCACGCGGGGTCACGGGCATGTCGCCGTTTGTGGAAAGTGTTTGTCGTTCCAAAGGATGGCAGTGAGTCACTGTCAATGACGTGATGGATGGCAGCTGTAACGATGACCTAGTAGCATTCTGTTGATGGGGGAAGAGAAACACCTGCTCCTCATAACACTATTTTCTAACGGGACGATCTTGAGCCTTCTCATCTAAAAGATTTGTGGTGCTAAAAACGTATTCCCATGGATATGTGAGATTGTGATGACAAAAATTCAAGAGCTTCCTTTCGTAACAATTCATGACATACCCACTATCGACAAGCAGATTTTCAAAATCAATAACTTGCATGTGTTAGGGTCCACAGCATTATCAATTGAGTTACTGAGAGGAATAGAGAATCAGTGAATGATTCAATATGCTGTCAGTGTTATGCTTTTGTGGGTTTGACGGCAGAAGAGCATAACGCTAACAGTGTCCACTCCGTTTCACTAGCGGCCCCACTAACTCACCGTTGTGCATGGCAAACCGCTTGAGGTCCTGGTACGTCTTCAGCTCTTCATCAGGACACAGGGACACACACAGGGCCATGGACTTTATCTTCCTCTGCACTATGTCAATGTTACACGGGTCCAGGAAGAACACATATCTGCAGACAAAACAAAAAACAGACAAAGATATCTGTTCATCTGTTCTTTATCAATAAAAATAAAAAAACCTAGATAAGGAATGAGTAACAAGGAATGTGAGAATTTCAGCAATTTGTTTATCTGTTCTTTATCAATAAAATATTTCCCCCCCCCCATCACCAATATGAGGAATGAGTCACGAGAAAGAAGGGAATGTGAAAATATGGGCGTGGGAATGTGATATTGAGAGAGGAAAACAGAGCTACAAAATAACCTGAAAGTCCTGAAGCCTACCCATCCCCTCAATCTCCTGTTCATTTTGGTGGACAAAGCAAAACACACTGCCCCCAACAATACCTTATTCACCGAGATATGATCAAATGGCACGAGACAGAGCCTTTGGCTGCTGATGCTGTTGGAACTGGTCCATGGGACTTGGCAAGTGTAACGGAGAGTGAAAGGAACAAGGACATTTTTTTATAAGAGAATCCATCACTCTAGTCCATCTGTCTGGTGCTTTTATACACTATGGGGTGGGCACCTCGCCCCACACACACACACACACACACACTTGCAGGAGCAATTGTCCTGGGTGTTACACACAAATGCTGAAAATGAAACAAATATACATAGACATACATTACAATGCTGGGAGAATGAAGTCAGGTAGTGTCTACATTGTTGAACCCCAGTCTATGTCTAGGCCAGTGTAAATACACTCGTCCAGACCAGACAAACATCTAGGTCAGGCTAAAGTGAATGTCATCCAAATGAACTGTTCTGGTGATTCATAAGCTGGCTCAGTGGTTTGCACTGTACACATGCTTGATGAAAGGTAGATAGATATGAAAATCAAGTCACACTGGATTGTTCCGAATATTCAATGGCAGTTTGACTTTGTCTGAGATAAGCTGAGGTTAGGATCGGGCTTGGATAAACTGATCCTGGATCATCAACCAGCAGCCATGGCCAGAAGAATAGGCCTACAGCGTTGTACTGTTTACGTTTGGCCCCTGCCTTGTGAATGAGGAGCTGCTTAACTGTAATAGCCAAATAAACCCTGACAAGCTATCCCTTAAGCTCTGACTTTGTTGTCACGAATGATCACATTATGTGACACTAGCCTATACCTCACACAGGTAGGTCACCTAAAAAGGTTGCTGAGGACAGGACTGAATACAGCACTGAACCCAACCTCGACTGGGCCTACATTTAACCACCCCAGCAATGATACTAGACTCTTTGTCTGACTATCACCAAGACAGCAATAATCTATAGACCACAGTTGTGTTATTCTGTCTAATGACATGGAGAAGATATACCGAGAGAGAAATTATGAAGTGAGGAGGAGAAGTAGAGAGAGCGACAGAGCGAGAGAGAGAGAAATAGGGTTGACAGCTGTGTAGTCCTTAATTGAATCCCATGACAGCTGCATTCTCAGTGGAGTTCGGCATCAGGTGGTTGCGCTTGAGGCGAGGGCTGTCAGTCAAAACTCACATCCTCTGCGGCCGATAGGGCAAGTGTGTGTGTATATGTGTTCTTTCCTTGTTATCAACCTTATCAAACCCCAACCTGGCGAAACAGCCTTCTACTGAAGCGTCCACCAAACTATCTTGCGTGCACGCACGCTGGGGCCACTATTAATCCAGTGATCTGTCTACAGCGCCTGTCCATGTGTGCGCTCACGTGTTAGGGATGAATATTTTCCCCCCAAAAAAACCAACACATTTTCCTTCCCTAAAAGAAATTGCAACCATCGCGGTACCATCCTGGTATTCCCGCTCAAACCGGAAATGCTATTTAAAAGCATGCAATACCAACAAAATAAATCTGACATGATTATACCACTCTAGTGGAGAAATATGGACTGGAATCTAACAGTTTCTTGTTGTATTTGTCACAATTTAATCAACTCAAAAGTTCTGTCAAAGTCAACACACTATTTCATTGACGTAGCTCCATGATAACCCAATTCCTGTGGTGAATAACAGGGAACATAGATTCTCCGCTAAACAAACAGACAAGCAAATAGGCCTAGTAGCAGACATTCAGTACCAAATACCTGCCAATCTGACTAGGTAATCCCGTGCACTCGCTTTTGTTATTGTAACATCATGGAACAATGTTGAAAATGTCTATTTTCTTGAGCGCGTTTGTGGACACAATGCACCAGCCATTTTGTTAACAGTGAGAAGCTGCAGTTTATACGCCTCTACCAGTGCCACAAAGCTACAGTACCTTAAGAAAGTATTCTCACCCCTGGACTTTTTCCACATTTTGTTTTGTTAAAAAGTGGGATTAAAATGGATTTCATTGTCATTTTTTTGTCAACGGTCTACAAAAAATACTCTAAATGTCAAAGTGGACAAACGAATAGGTCTTGATTAGATAAGTATAAGCACCTGAGTCAATACATGTTAGAAATCACCTTTCGCAGCGATTACAGCTGTGAGTCTTTCTGGGTACGTCTCTAAGAGCTTTTCCTGGATTGTGCAACATTTCAAAATTCTTCAAGCTCTGTCAAATTGATTGTTGATCATTGCTAGACAACCATTTTCAGGTCTTGCCATAGATTGTCTTTGTAAATTCAAATCAAATCTGTGACTCAGCCACTCAGGAAGATTCACTCTCTTCTTGGTAAGCAACTCCAGTGCAGATTTGGCCTTGTGTTTTAGGTTATTGTCCTGCTGAAAGGTGAATTCATATCCCAGTGTCTACTGGAAAGCGGACTGAACCAGGTTTTCCGCTAGGATTTTGCCTGTGCTTAGCTCCATTCTGTTTATTAATTTATCCTGAAAAACTCCCCAGTCCTTAACGATTACAAGCATACCCATAACATGATGCAGCCACCACTATACTTCAAAATATGGAGAGTGTGTTGGATTTTCCCCAAACATAACACTTTGTATCTTAGTTAATTGCTTTGCCACATTTTTTGCAGTAGTGCCTTGTTGCAAACAGGATTCATGTTTTGTAATACAGGCTTCCTTCTTTTCACTCTGTCAATTAGGTTAGTATTGTGGAGTAACTACAATGTTGTTGATCCATCCTCAGTTTTCTCCTATCACTAAATTAAAACTCTGTAACTGTTTAAGTCACCATTGGCCTCATGGTGAAATCCCTGACTGGTTTCCTTTCTCTCCAGCAACTGGGATGCCTGTATCTTTGTAGTGACTGGGTGTATTGATACACCATTCAAAGTGTAATTAATAACTTCACCATGCTCAATGGCATATTCAATGTATTTTATTTATTTTTTACCCATCTACCAATAGGTGCCCTTCTTTGCGAGGCATTGGAAAACCTCCCTGGTCTTTGTGGTTGAATCTGCATTTGAAATTCACTGCTCGACTGAGGGACCTTACAGATTATTGTACGTGTGGGGTACAGAGATGAGGTAGTCATTAAAAAATCATGTTAAAATCCATGCAACTTATTATGGGACTTTTTACTCCTGAACTTATTTAGGCTTGCCATAACAAAAGGGGTTGAATACTTAAGACTCAAGACATTTCAGCTTTTCCTTTTTTATTAATTTGTCAAATTCAAAAAACATAATTCCACTTTGACATTATGGGGTATTCTGTGTAGGCCAGTGAAAAAATAAATCTAAAATGAATCCATTTTAAATTCAGGCTGTAACAACAAAATGTGGAAAAAGTCAAGGGGTGTGAATTATTTCTGAAGGCACTGTAGTTTGGAGATTTGTGAATGTGAAATGGAGATTTCCTTCAGTAACTGCGTAGAGAGGCCACGTGTAGCCTACACATGACAGTCAGCAATGCAATTGATATAAGTTATACAAGTAAGTGATGTTTTCTATTGGGGACTTTACATTGAGTAGGCCAAATATGGTAGGCTGCTTGCATTGTGATGACTAGTCTAATGTATGAATGAAGCCAGAGAGTTGATATGTCCAATTCATGCAGCTTTCGCACCTGTATATCTTGTATTTTTGCACTAGTGCGGCATACATTTTTTATGTTATTGATCCACTAATCCCGTCATTATTTTTCATCGGGAAAGAGCTTGGTTGGGATGTCCCGGGATACCGGTCACCTGTATTCGACCCTAGTGTGTGCATACGTGTGTCAGTCACATCAATAGGCCAACCCTGGGAGGGCTGTCAAGGTGCTTTGACCAAGCACATAATTGTTAGCTAATGTGGTGATAATGGACCAGGGGAAGCTAACTAGTGACCCTGAAAAGGTCCTCAAGGGCAAAAGCTGTTGAATTTCTAAATAGTTCTGTCAATAATGCCTCTATACATTTTTACACCCACCCACAACACCATTGTCAGACTATTACCCAAGACTAGAGGTTTGGGGAGGATTTCAGACTGGGCAAATGAGTGACTAACAGTGACTAGCATGCAAATTTGAATCACTCAACACAACAAAGGGTCTAATATCACTATAGCTATTCATTTCAAATGGCATTGCCCACAGGCATGTTTTTACACAACGCAAACCTACCACAAGGATCAATAGCACACTACAAGTGATATCAGCTTACTCATTGTTGATATAACGCTCCACTCTAAAATGGAACTTAAAACAGTTCAGCGCACACATTAACTGTGTGGGTGTTATGCTCAACTCAGCCAGTTTGTGGTTGTTCAAAAGGAAGAGTGAGCAATGTCGTCGTCCCCCCGCAAACTCTGCCACCGCTGCTGAAAAAACTCCTAGGGGAAACACTGGTGAGACTGAGAGCCAAGTGTTGCCGAGACAAGGCAGTGTTGGCGCCACCCAACAGCAGAAACAGAGCAGTAAACAATGATGTATGGAAAGAAAGAGAAGGAGGAAGAGAGAGATACAGATAGACATAGAGAGACAGAGAAAAATTGAGCGAGAGCGAGAAATAGAAAATAGAGAGAGAAAGAGCCAGCCAATGACATCTGACAGTGTTGGGTGACAAGGTCCTCCTTGTGTCAGCCAGAACCCTCTCCTGAAATGTCTTCCTCCGCTCACTTACTAACTTAGTCACAGACTGATACCAAGCCACTTTCTCTCTCCACACCCTATGATTACCTATAACTTGTCTGTAAACATTGGCAGCACCACATCTGTTAGCATCTGCATTTAGAATATTTTAAGAACCTTAAAAACAATGCATATCATCCATAGATACATTAACATGATGGATGTTCAATAGGAACTAGTGTCATTCTTTCAAACGATGAACAATTCCATATTCCATTCTTTCATCAGCAGTCTAGCCAAACGGTAAGGGGAAAAACATCAAGCCAAGCAATTTCAAAGCCATTAATATCTCTTCACCAGCACAACCAAAATAAATAAATGCCCCTCTGCTGATGACTCACAAGTCTGTACCACAAGCCAAGCATTAAGCACACAGTCAATCCAAAGGGGGGATGTAATCAGCCTGCCATGCAGATGAAGTGGGCTGAAATACCTATGTGTTCCCAGAGGGCGGCGTGTGCAGTAAGTAAGTACAGTTCACCGTGACAGAATGTCCTTATGCCTCTGCATATTTATTCAAGGTTTTATTTATACTAGATTCCCATAGGCCAGGGGTAAAATGATTGCAATTTGACATTTCTATTGAACCAATGAGCAACGGGGAAAAGCTATTTCTTAACATTTCTCAATAATGGGCTAATTCAGCCTAACATTTGTATTTGTAAACAGAATGATGGGTTTTGGCAAAATGGCACTGCCGCTAAGATAAAAGAGAGTGAAGGGTTGGTGAGATACAGATAGGAGACAGTGTAGAGTGAGAAAGTGAGAGAAAGACTCACTTTTTGTCCGTCTGATCCAGTCCACTCAGCCTGACCCCTTCGATCTGCTCATTGCGCTGGCCGCAGGTGTTCCCGTAGCTGTCATATCCGAAGATCAGGCGGGCTGCGCCCCCCGTGGCGATGGTGAACCCACAGATACTCCCCTGAGAGAAGCATTGCGTCACAGTGGGGTATGGATGTGTATAAATACATTGTTGACAGGTATAAAATGTAATGTACCAACCTGACCGTCAAACTGCGAAGCTTATGGATTGTTTCATGAAAAGCACCACTAACACCAACAGCCCAATCCTGCTGACCTAGCCGTACGCTGCCTTAAGTGACCAGTGTTTTTTAAAGTACTCTGATTCAAATCACAGAAATTGAATTCTAATTCATTTGTCCATCTGTTACTACAGCTATTCTTATTCTCCTCTCCACCCTCCCAGACAACACACCAGACATTTTGGGAGAAGCACAGGGTCAGCTGCCATTCAGTGCCAGTGTTCCTGGAACTACTTAGGGTGTATGAAGTGCCTTGCTTAAAAGGCAAAACAGTAGACAATGGAAACCATCTGAAATCAATTCCTACTTTTTCCATCGCCAGGTCCAGGATTTGAAACCGGCTACTGGTATCTAAAGCTACCCAGATGCAAGAAGCTTGTGTGTGTGTTTTACAACATCATTCTTCAAGTCACTCTTTACTCGGTTGTAGATTCAAACAAAAAGTTATATTCACTCTAAGTATAGGCTAGTAGGCCTATGCTGTAGAAACAAATATATAAAATATACTGATATTCCTAAATAATTGGCTTACATCGATGAAAACCCCTATTGTATGTAAAAAATAACCATGTCTTTCCATTTCTGTCATAAATAGTGCTTTATGACGTTTAAGTGTGTTTACAACATAATATTTCAGCAGTGAAAATGACTGGTAAATTGCACTAGTTGATCATCTATTCAGATGGGTTTGTTTGTTTCATATATTTTTGCCATATGTTAACCATCCTCAAAAGTCAGAGCACTCTTCAATTTCACACTTCAGAAGGTGTTAATTGTCTGCGTGCTTGTAGCTAATTGGCTGAACTGAGGTGGTGTGGCAACCTGACACAGGTGACACTTGTCAGGCAATCAATCAGCTGGACATTTAAAGAATGTCATGACGATGAACGACTTTTGTTGATGTGAGCCTTGTGTTTCGTCTCAAAATGTGTTTCAACCTATGTAGTTATGGTTTTACATTGCTCTTTGTTTGCAATGAAATGAATCGGCATACAGGCTACTTACCATTCCGACGCAGAATACAGTAAATAAAAGGAACCACGGCAAATCCGTGCAACTTCGATCCTCCAAGGGTTTCCATTCTCTCTTTGTCCTCTGGAAAACAAAATACCAACACATCGGCAGTGCCACATTAGCAATTAGTCTATAGGAGTCTTTGTCAATTCAAATCGTGACTGGTGACAATGTAGTCTACACAAATATTATTTCACATATGCCACAAAAAAATGTCCCTCAATGGCACGCGCTCCGTCTAGCAGTCACCGTGAATGTCATTAGGCCAAGTTCTGACTTCCTTTGTCCCCCGCAAATTCACTTTGACATCTAATTTTCGTAGATAGAGGCTATTTGTGGCCGACTGTAAAGAAACGTTGTTACACTTTGTTTTCAACGCAATCACATTTAACCATATTATCTCTCCTTCATTGTCAAGGCGCCGTTCAATAGCTTCAAATCTCGCACAATGCGAGAGATGAGGTTTGTTTACAAGGCTAACTGTGCTCACGAGCTATTTATGGTATGCAAAACTGCTTTGAAGCGGTAGCCTATGCGAAATGTCGGTGGTAATGCACTAGAAAACTATTTGACAATTAGTGTCCCATTATAATGAAGCTACAGCCTATAGCCTGATATTTCATTCTCGGTTTCGATAATAATAGGATTACACTAGCCTTCCCGATGAACATAGCCTAGTCTTATCTAATCTGACTGAGGTGGTGAGAATTGTCATTGGATGACAGCGGTCGCAACAATGTAGCAGTGTAGCCTAATCTTCGTTCCATTATGTTCAATTTGCAACATTAAAACAATTAATGCAACATAGGGGTGGAGGAAACCGTTATCTTACCTCTGTGCTACCGCAGCATCCCATTGCAGGAAAGGGTTCGATTTGCGAATAGCTCAACGCTACAGCACAAGAAAAACAATAACCCAAACTTGCAGGGAGTTAACGGTATAATGTTTACCCTGCATTAATTGCGTAGCGCCGACTTGAACGATTTGTAGATTAGAAAGGCGACACAAATGGTATATTCCATCCAAAATGCATACTAATATCTGTCTCCTTCCTCCAGGTATAAGGGATTAATACTTTAGGATTTATCGCACCACACTTCCTGGGGGATTGTGCAGGTGCAGCCGGAAAAGGAATGTAGCATCCATCCATTCATCTCATTGAGCCTGCGCATTTGGCACGGGACTTGATAACAGGAGGATGGCGGGATGTTGGGCTGAGCGCGCGATTTCCAAAAGCACCACTTTATCGTTGTATTACCCGCCCGCTGTCTATCCACTGTGACCACAGATGATGACGCACTGGTACATAATAGGCTATAAGAAATTATGAAAACTGGATATGTTGTGGGCCTAAAAAGACATGATGCACATACTACAATTTTTAATGGTTGTAGAATAACTAAGGGGGCATGTTCCAATACACTTTTAGTGTCAGTGCTCACAATTATCAAATTAAAACGAACATAATGGAATAACAATTTCTGCTCATCTAATTCCAGATTTACTACACTGAACAGTAGCCTAACAGGCCCATTGTTTACATGAGTCTAATACATTTTCATCCCAGAGATTAATGCATTTTTATCAGCCAAGAGATTATGCTATAGCCTAAACTACTTGATCAATATTCTATCAACTGACTATTTAGTTTTTGAAAGATTAATTTGTTGACAAACTCATAATCATAATTAAATTAATACAGTAGACATACCTATCTAATCACTTTTCCCAATCCTAAAAAGTTCCCCACAAAGATATATTAACGCTTTCCTCACTCTCATACGGTATCCAGGATTTATCTGCATGCTGTAGTCTGTCCCCAAATAAGGGTTATCCACCTTTTTCCTGGGCCTCCCTTGCTGAGAACTGCTTGTCGACCTTTTCTGTTCCATCTTCTTGGCTGTGTGTGGTACAGAAATGGCAGGGAGATGCCAGTCTAGAGGGCAAAAAGAGGGGCCTTTGTTCCATTGTTTTCTGTTGTACCAGGGAGAGAGTGAGCTGTGTGTGTGTGTGTGTGTGTGTGTGTGTGTGTGTGCGCGTGCACGTTATGTTTTTATTTGTAAGGCTGTATGGAGTGAGTGTGCATTATCAGTCTGTGGCACCCCTTTCTCAAATGTAGGGAGTGTAGAGGTGTGTGTGTCATCATAACAAGTTAGTGCTTTGTTTTTCTTGTCCTTTTCGATTATCCTTCCATGTTTTTAATCATGAACTGTAGGGCTACAATGTAGACAAAACATTTCTAAACAAATGAAAGGTTCTCTGTGTTTTTTTTTATGTCATTTACATGACTTAAATAGATTAATGGGCAACATTTGATGAGTTATCATTTTGTAGATGATTTCTCTTTGTACAGTACATAGTACACTATGTACAGTACACAGTACATAGTACACTATGTACAGTACACAGTACATAGTGATGAAGTGGTTTAATTTCTTGCCATTTTCGTTTCAGCCACTAGAGAGCAGTCACACCTTGTGTGAAACATTGCAAGTTGGAGGAGTCAGCAGTAGGGTTACCCAACCCCAGCAGCAAAAGGTAAGATGGGTGGAGTGGTCAAAGATTCAGTGGTGAAATTTCAGCCTGTTTTGGTGGGATGGAGTTTTGGCCTGCCTGCGGTAAATTAGTTAATAGACCAATAAGAAAGAGAGTTCCAAACCTCTCTGCCAATAACAGCTAGTTTTCCGTTTTCCCCTCTCCACTCAGATCACTCCCAGACAGTCCTAGCAAAATTCTTGCTTGAGAAATTGCTCTTTGCTAAGAAGCTACTTTTGTTTCTTTTAGACCATTTACATTTAAAACAATCACAGTACGGTACAATTGAGAAATTGCTCTTTGCTAAGAAGCTACTTTTGTTTCTTTTTGACCATTTACATTTAAAACAATCACAGTATGGTACTTAATTGTTACCCAGAAATGATTTGATATTGAGATAAAAATGGCTGCATTGGACCTTTAATTTACTGCAATGTAAGTTGGAAAGAATTGAGTCACCAGTCACAGATCTGTGTACTCCAAATGTTGGTGATTAATAACATTACATGTTCTGTACTGTTGTTTGTTTCACAGTACTAGGCTTCTGCAAATATTACTAATACATTATTCTCATCTTTCCCATTAATTAAGGGAGTGAGGCATGCGCTGCAGATTTCTCCTGAAGCCTATAATGGGATGACATCAACTTGACTTTAGACCACTTTTGAGGTATGTAAATGTCTAGCAAACTATGAACTGTCCCTTTTCTGATTGAAGTGTTGGAGGTGGTCTTCTGAGAATATGCTCTATCTGTTCAGATGCCTGGCTACTGAGTTGATAAATTATTGAGCTTTGAGTAGGCCTAGTTGACTTCTGAACTAGCTGAGTTTCCCATTCAGATTGGCAGAGTGGAAAGGTCATAATCCAATTCTGTTTCCTCTTTTATGCATGGAATGGTCAATATTGGTAAATTAAATATACTAAGATTGGTTTCATGACTCTATGCATTACCTATAATGCAATTATTTTACTATTTCATGGGCCTAATGATTTCCATCTATTAAAATATTTATTTGAACTAATCCAATTTAGAGGTAAGAGGCTATGCCATTTTTGGGGAGCAAATTACTGTGTTTTCACCAGACCTGGGTTAAAATATTATTTAAGGTATTTCAATTACTTTTCAATACATTTCAAATCAAGCATTCAGATAACCTTTATTTGAAAATGTAGAAAATACTAAAATATTTTAAACCCATGTATTGGAAAATAGTATTTCAAATAAGTATTTGAAAATAATTTCAAAAACAATTTGGTCTACTATTTGGTTTTTGCAAATAACTATTCAAATACTCCAATAAAAGTACTTGTTTTCGGCTGTGTATTTGAAAATACTCAAATACACAGAAGGGGAAAAAAGTATTTAAATAACAAATACTCAAATACACATGTATTTGAACCCAGGTCTGGTTATCTCTTCTAATCTGTCCTTTCAATGACACTGTACTGGGTGTTTTGGCTTTGGGAATCTGTTTCACTATTTTACAAAGAACACACCCCCATAGCTGAACTGATTGTTGTTTCCGAAGTGATCGATATGATTAATCATTAGCCTATTGCTACACGTTACAGTACATGCAACCGGGAAATATTTAATTAATGGTTTAATCTCAGGAAAGGCAAACACGACCAGATTATGTTTTGACTGTAAAGTATGAGGTTTAATGTAAACATGGATTCAAAGTTGTGATTGTTCATTTTACATTCTGTGTGGATTTTTTTTTTACTATGGAGCCTAATACTTTCAATACATGTACGGCCTATGTTATTTATGGCCTATGGTATTTATTTAGATTCTCCTAATCGTGATCATCAATTCCAGATGTTTTAGGAGGTCGGGGAGTGCGAGTAGCCACTTCAAGAGCTGTTTTGAGTCTACACGTGCTCCACTAGAGGGGGGTTTAATCACATAACATATCCATGGACAATGGTATAACACCAGTTCTACAAGCGGATGTAGCAAAGGTTCTCTCCATATAAAAGCTTGAGTAGATTCAAATGGTTCTCCTCCTCTGTGTACAGATCACACATGCCTGGATAACAAGCCGAGACAAAATATAAAAAAAAAGTTGTGAATAATTATTATTTCGCTGGGGAGGAACCACAGTTAATACCGAAAGGAGTCTGATTTCGTGCCTTTGGAAAAAGGTAGGCTATTTCCATTTTCCACTCATTCATTGTCTCTCATTTTTATTGTGGGCTACTTCATTAGAAAACACGAGGAAGGCTACTGTATCCTAGTCCTCGGGCACATTTACAACCACATTATTTATTGTCATGTAAAATTGATTTACTCATTAAGGGAAAAATACCTGCAGGTTCCTTTTAGTTAGTCTGAAAGGAAAACGGAGAACACCGCACGTCACGAATATTTTCAGTAAACCCAGTGTTAGACAAAAGTAGGCATATTACACTTTCCCATATTTTATTACATTCTTTGTAGAGTTATCTCTGCGCACGTTACGAAGCAACATATCGCCACCAAACAAGATAATAACGTTACTCAAGTTAGAAACAAGTTTGAGTTACTTTGTCTAATTTACATAATGAGCTGTTGTAGGCTACACGTCAATATGAAGCCCCGCAAAATAACATGTTATTGATAAGTCCGTTAATAATTTGTGAGAATTTATTTTGTTGTAATTTATATTGTATTACCACAAACAGTCCACCTGGCTCTTGTGTGAGGACAAAAGACAGGGAGACAATTAAACTGTACACCGACTGTTCCTTCAAAGACTGCTAGAGGCGCTGATAGTAGCCAACTCATCCACTTATTGGGTTCATGAACTGATTACGCTACCTAGATAAAAAATAGTAATAACTGTTTTCGGTAATTTTTTAATGAGACAATGAAGGGACTACTCTAGAACAAACTAATGCAAAGAGGAGGGTTGTTTTGATATATATTTTGTTCATGTCATCTAATACAAGTACCACCATAAAAGCTTGTACTTGGCAGCTTTTTGCATGTGCATAGTGTCTAGTACATGATAACATACAGTTATTATGATTAAGAGATAAGTCGTAGGCCTACCAAGAATAACTTCATAAAGTCTTCATAAAGCCTTCATAAGCACTACATAAATGTGTCACACATGATCTATAACCGTATGTCATGCTCTATAAAGGGTTCATAACTGTGTGACATAACCACCTATGTCAAATGTGACATTACCCAGTATGTCAAATATGGCATAAACCTGTGCTTTTTAAAGGTTTACATAAGCACCACTTAATAAAGGCTTTATTAACCATATTAAATTGAGGCTTCACAAAGCATCTATAACCTTGTCATGCATGTTGGTAGAGCATTGCAACGCCAGGATAGTTGGTTCGATTCCCGGGACCACCCATATGTAAAAAATGTGTAAGCGTTTTGCTTCCGTCCCTCTCCTTTCCCCAACCTGGGCTTGAACCAAGGACTCTCTGAACAGTCAACACGAAGCATCGTTACCTATCGCTGCAAATAAAGCTGCGGTCCATGCAGTAGACCATTTATTGCCCAATTTTGAGAAATATTGTTAAGAAAACTTGACAATAAAAATATTTGAGATGAATATGCCATGACAATGTTAACACATAACATATATCAGCATGAGCTGTTTTCATTTCTACATGTAGGTCTTGATTTATGATTATGCTACATGTTTACCCTCACCTTTCTATTTCATGGTGATTTCCATGTTCATACTTTTTTTTCAACTTAATCTAGTCTGCCCAAAAACTTTTATGATTTTTTATCAAAAACATCACATGATTAAATCTGTTGGTGGAATGCTGATTAAATCATGGACTTAAAATACAACTTTTTTGGGATCTCCTTTAACAATTTAAAATGTAGGGCCCCAAGTGCATATGCTAAATGACTATTTAAATCACAAGCATTGTCCACCTGCACCATTCACAAAACAAACCTGCACTGTTTAGGGACCATCAGTGATCAAAGAACCACTCAGTGGACTCGGTGCATTGATGGAAGCACTAAAAGCCTGTAAATATCTGCATGTATGAACGTCCCCTCGACCCCTCCTCACTCCGAGTCTGCCTGGGAACACGGTGTAGAAGAAGTTCCCATATGAGGAGGACATATTGGAGAGATGTGATCTTGTCAGCTCCAGATAGACAAGTGACCCTTGACCTTGTACCTTTGAGCTGTGTGTGTGCTGGCTGGCTGGTGTCTTTTTACCCACCCTCACCACTGCCTGTGTGTCATTTCAGTTGAGAGAGCTGGAGCCGAGGGAAGCTTGCGCTTAAGAGGTCCAGAGTAGAGATGTCCATCTCAACTCAGCTGGGCTTGCTGTTGTGGAAGAACTTTACGTGCAGAAGAAGGCAAACGGTAAGCAGTCCATCTTTATATCACTGTGTGAAGTGTAGAAGTCCTTGTTAAGGAATTGGGACTTTTTTTCCCGTGGCTTTGTTTGATTGGAAACTTAAATTAATAAGTTAGTGAAATAGAATGTATAATTATGTTCTTCTGTTATAATGTTTACAGTATATTCAAAACATGTTGGAATAACTGTATTATTATTGTATTATTACTGTATTATTGTCATATATTAAGAAAGATATACCGGGTCTACAATTCCGAACTGTTTCGGATGGAAAGCATGCGGACGCCTTAAGGCTGGTCTGATGCCAAAAAAGAAAGGAAATGATTGCTTACGTCACACATTTTACTGCAAAATTAAGTGAATTACTAGTTGCACTGCATGTAATTCACTACTCCCCAACACTGACACAGGGACAGTGCTTTAACTTAGCAATGTTAGCTTTAATTGCTACTACAGCTTGTCTGTACTAGTCCTCCCACGTGTCTTAGAACCCTGCCTCTAGATGGCTTTACAAGTGCTGGAGTAGCATCTCTCTCTGTCTCCTAATTCAATCAGCATGCACCTGATAACCCTTGAACAGAGTTGACTTTATTGTTGCTGGATGTGGATGTGTAGCATTGGCTATTTTGAAGTCAGGGTTGGTTGTATTGATAGCTTTGCATCTATTATGAATGAGTTACTAATAAAAGCCATCTTGTGAGAGCTACATCCTGCCTGCGTATAGCGTTGATGCAGACATAATATATGTGGTAGTGAGGGAGCCATTTTTAACGCCAGCTTTTAAAAGCTCCAGACTATTAGCAGACAAGCTAGGCATATGGTAATAAAGAGGGGAGGAGTAATGGTTTCCATAGGATACGCTCCTTAATGAAAATGCCGATTGGCTTTCTTCTCTTGTTTGTGTTTTCTCTCTAGCTCCAACTGCTGATAGAGATAGTATGGCCCCTGTTGATCTTCTTCATTTTGATATCAGTGAGACTGAACTACCCTCCGTACGAACAACATGAGTGTAAGTAGGATGCACCTCCCTGTCCTTTTCATTGTTTACGCACACACTTCTTCACAAGACACTCAACTAGTTGGTTAACCCAACCTGTTGTTGTGGCCACAGAGACATTTGGATTTGAAATCTGTGGATGAACTCAGTTGCCTTTTATATATTGTACGCTGTACATGCCAAAGTTGCTACAGTATACAAGCTAGCAATACCATGCAATGGTATGCTACAATGCCATGTGCAGGCATTTATGTGAAAATGCTACATGCTGGCCACTCGAGTAAACACACTCAGGCAAAAATAATTATACATAATTTTTCACATTCCAACAGTAGCCTAATCGTGTTGATTTTTATGGTAAGTCCTTATCAGGTGAGGATGTTTTATGAGTTGTTGTTATATGGGGAATATCCTGTCCTGCTAATGAATGCTCTGCATGGATATACCCCTGTTAATGGGTTTTTATCTAAAGCCTGATATGGTTTCTGCCTACTGGGCATACAACCAGGGGCGGATTGGCCTTCTGGCAAATGCCATATGGGCTGAACCATTTTTTTGTTAGGTGGGCTGCTCAAAATTGACAAACACAAAAAGAAAACGTGACATGGCTGGCGGCACATGGGCCTGCTAAGAATTTTTTTTAAAGATTTTTGCGCAATTTCTCTGTTATACTAATCTATAATGAGCTTTTGGCTGATCAGTGGGCAACGGCCGGACCCCTACCAAGATGGACTGGCGCGGTTTTCTGAACTTACATTCAAAGTCAAACGCGGCATCAGCAAAGAGACCTGCTCCGACTCCGTCATCAGTTAGACAGCCAAGATCAATGATCGTAAAAAACGGAAAGGGTGCCTATAGATGTAGAAAGAGCACATTCTACATTCTCATCTCACTCAAAACTTCCTATTTTTGGGGCAGCTAAAACCATAATTGGGTCAAACAGTAAAGTGCATTATCTTCATGATTCCTGTAATGAAAGTGTCTGCCCTGCCCCTGTGCATGTTTCGCTGGGGAATGCTGCTGTGATGAGCGAACCACTCTCCTCTCCCCCCATGCGCTTGAGAGAAACATGCATTCTGATTGTATAACGTTTAAAAATGTAATTGCGGGAAACTCACACCTTTAAAGCTTCATCCCCTTGTCCCTGTCAAAGAGAGGAGGGTCTCAGCTTTCTGTAGGTATACTAATTATTTCTCAAATCTCAATATTCAGCTTAATAGCAACTATTTTACAACCAAGATATTTGATATGGCTTTGAGATATAGAGTGGCATGCGCTCTAAATGCTCACTGGCCATTGCAAGGGCATAGGTCTCATGGGTAGTAACCTAAAACTGAAAAGTTTGTTTTAGGACATTACATTTACTGTTGGATGAATACATGGCTACTAGCAAAGTATTCAGACCCCTTGACTTTTTCCATATTTTGTTACATTACAGCCTTATTCTAAAATTGATTAAATCGTTTTTTTCCCCTCATCAATCTACACACAATTCCCCATAATGACCAATTAAAAACAGGTTTTTAGAAATTTGTGCCAAAAAAACAAAACAAACAGGATATATCACATTTACATAAGTATTCAGACCCTTTACTCAGTACTTTGTTGAAGCGCCTTCGGCAGCGATTACAGCCTCAAGTCTTCTTGGGTATGACGCTACAAGCTTGGCACACCTGTATTTGGGGAGTTTCTCCCATTCTTCTCTGCAGATCCTCTCAAGCTCTGTCAGGTTGGATGGGGAGCGTCGCTGCATTGCTATTTTCAGGTCTCTCCAGAGATGTTAGATCGGGTTCAAGTCCGGACTCTGGCTGGGCCACTCAAGGACATTCAGAGACTTGTCCCGAAGCCACTCCTGCGTTGTCTTGGCTGTGTGCTTAGGGTCGTTGTTCTTTTGGAAGGTGTACTTTCACCCCAGTCTGAGGTCCTGAGCACTCTGGAGCAGGTTTTCATCAAGGATCTCTCTGTACTTTGTTCTGTTCATCTTTCCCTCGATCCTGACTAGTCTCCCAGTACCTGCCACTGAAAAACATCCCCACAGCATGATGCTGCCACCACCATGCTTCACCGTAGGGATGATGCCAGGTTTCCTCCAGACGTGACGCTTGCCATTCAGGCCAAAAAGTTCAATCTTGGTTTCATCAGACCAGAGAATCTTGTTTCTCATGGTCTGAGAGTCTTTAGGTGCGTTTTGGCAAACTCCAAGTGTGCTGTCATGTGCCTTATACTGAGGAGTGGCTTCCATCTGGCCACTCTACCATAAAGGCCTGATTGGTGGAGTGCTGCAGGGATGGTTGTCCTTCTGGAAGGTTCTCCCATCTCCACAGAGGAACTCTGGAGCTCTGTCAGAGTGACCATCGAGTTCTTGGTCACCTCCCTGACCAAGGCCCTTCTCCCCCGATTGCTCAGTTTGGCCGGGCGGCCAGCTCTAGGAAGAGTCTTGGTGGTTCCAAACTTCTTCCATTTAAAAATAATGGAGGCCACTTTGTTCTTAGGGACCTTCAATGCTGCAGAAATTTTTTGGTACCCTTCCCCAGATCTGAGCCTCGACACAATCCTGTCTCGGGGCTCTACGGACAATTCCTTCGACCTCATGGCTTGGTTTTTGCTCTGACATGCACTGTCAACTGTGGGACCTTATATAGACAGGCGTGTGCCTTTCCAAATCATGTCCAATCAATTGAATTTACCACAGGTGGACTCCAATCAAGTTGTAGAAACATCTCATGGATGATCAGTGGGAACAGGATGCACCTGAACTCAATTTTGAGTCTCAAAGCAAAAGATCTGAATACTTATGTAAATATTTTTATTTTTATTTTTTTATTTGCTAAAATGTTTAAACCTGTAGATTGATGAGGAAAAAAAGGAATAATCAATTTTATAATAAGGCTGTAACATAACAAAATGTGGAAAAAGTCAAGGGTTCTGAATACTTTCCGAATGCACTGTATATTTAGAGTTAGTGATCTAGTTAATGGGTTTGAGTTTCCACTTCCTCAGGTGTTGAACCCCAAATGAATTAGCCTATGTTTTTAGTTAGTGTACGTAAAGATGTATGTAATTCATCTCTATTGAAAAAAACAATCAGGAGATTCTGGAGTCCTATTTTGACAGTTAAATATAGCAACTATAGTCTAATTGTCAACCCAAAATGAATGTCAATCACTGGATTAGCTTGCACATCCAAAATATATTGAGTCATGCATTCCTGCTTGGATGTGTTAGATGAAACAACTTATTTCTTGAATACCTCAGTAGTCTACTATTTAATAAAGCACTATGAGTTACTTTATAAGATGATTACTCGTGATGTGGGTCCGACCAAATCATGGACTAGTGCCACCAACTGTAAAAGTTAGAGGCACCATTGACACCAGGGGAAAATGTTAGTCAGGAACCCTGTAGTAATTCATACTTAGGGTAGGTGTTGATTCAGGGGAACACATATGACAGGCACTAATTTGCAATATAGCCTAAAGGCTGGTTTACAGTCCGTCTAGCAACATTTCTGTAGACAATTGTTGTAGCGACATCATGAACATTCTATTGTCGTCCAACATCAAACGTGTAGTTGTTGTTATGAAAAAGTACACAAAACATCAGTATCTGCATGACATCAGCAGCCCGTGAGTGCACAAAACATTATGAACACCTGCTCTTTCCATGACATAGACTGACCAGGTGAAAGCTATGATCTCTAATACTTGTTAAATCCACTTCAATCAGTGTAGATGAAGGGGAGGGCAAGACATAATATTTAAGTGCCTTTGAACGGGGTATGATAGTAGATGCCAAGCGCAACGGTTTGTGTCAAGAATGGTCCACCACCCAAAGGACATCCAGCCAACTTGACAGAACTGTGGAAAGCATTGGAGTCAACATGGGTCAGCATCCGACACCTTGTAGAGTCCATGCCCCGATGAATTGAGGCTGTTCTGTGTGCAAGGGGGGGGGGGGGAATAATTTTCTATTTGATTTGACAGTTCATTTGTGAGGTGGCTCATGATGGCAGTGGACATATTAGTGGTTTTAGGGGGGGTTTAGAGTTTGACACCTTTATTGCTGCTCTATTTTCATTATCAAGGTTTTATATGTGAATGCTGATGAAGGTCGCAAGGCTTAGGTAGACTATTTGGCACGGGTATGGGAAAAAAGTACGTAATGGCCATGCACTGGCTGAACCAAGCATCTTTTCACCAGAATGAGATAACCAGTAGAAGTTCTGATATGCTAGAGAAACCTTGGGTAATTAAATCTCTGGGGGCATTTCACAGAATAGGATCAATAAATTGGCCAGCTACCTTCCCTATACTGAAGAAGCTTGTGTTTATTACTATGGGACTCGATACTCAGCATTCTATATGAGACACAAAATAAAGAGTTACAGCTATGTGTTTAACAAAGTCAAACATATTGACATATTGATCCTACTTTGTGTAGTCTACAAACCTGCTTTAGGATATAGTTGTGTAAGACAAAGCATTTATACAGCTACTAATAACTATTATTAATGGGATGAACACATCTCCTGAGAAATCTTTGTCTACAACAGAATATCCACTTTCTTTCATTCCCGGAAGCCTGCGCTTTGTCCATCTGCCAGAAAACAGAAGCATTAGCTGGTAAATTGCTTTCAATTCCACCTAAAGTCCTGGTTAGGCAGAGGCATTCTTTTCTTTGAGTCATACATCACGTGGGTCAGTGTATGTTCTAACTGCTCAAACACCAAATAGGAAAGACATGTTCTTTCTTGCACAGGGCCTGGCTAACCTATTGCTTTTGGGGATGGATGTTAACCACACACAAAAAAGGATTTAAAAAAACATGGCAGAGCGATAAGTCTCCAGATTTATGAATGTGGTGATAATTTGAAAACTGCCCAGCTAAATGGCATTTAGGATTCACATTTATCACCCACTAGTTAATTAAGTCATACATCTGTGTAGGCTGTTGATGACGATCACACTGAAAAGCAAGATGGCCGCCCTGAACCTGCTAAGCACTTGGCTACGTGGGGTTATCTCTTATCTCTGCTTTCCTTAGCAATGGGCCAGTTGGCAGTCTTAAGGTTTACTGATAACACACCTACCTTTTTTGACCCATCACACAAATAACTGCTTGCCTCTCGGGGAGGGAGAGACGGCATCTTGGGGGGCAAAGGTCGTACATTGTACTTAGGCAATCACTCCCTCACGTCAATAAGGTCTGTAGCTGCCGAGTGAAGCCCTTAGGATGGGACAAGACGTGGTTAGCTGATGCTAGCTCATCCGCTGCCGGCCCGATAAGGCAATCTGAGAACACAACTATCTGTGCTCATCCAGGTGTATCTGCATTTTGCCTAGACAAAAATAGCATTTTGGAACTCTGTACATGATGTTCAAAGACTAAGTAGATCCAGCGGGTTGATATAGAGGCCTTTTAAGCGTCTCAGTATCAGTTCAAACGTGACTGGAATTACCCTATGTTCTCTCCAGTCCACTCTCTGTTGATAGTGAGGGTGAAAAGACTGAAATATAAACATGGAATTGACTACTTTGAAAGTCTTATTTTACATTCATAGATGTGGTTGAATGTGCTTTAAACATTGTTACATTTCAAAATATACCAAGTTGACTCTCTCTTCCTGGTTCTCTTCCTCTGCGCTCCCGCTTCCTCTCTCTGTGTGTCTTATGACTGTACTGTACAGTGACCAGTGGTGTAGTAGAGTTGATTTTTTTGCCCAACAGTTTACCAACCTTTTGCATTGGAAAAAAATAGGAAGCATTACTTTTTTCAACACTATATAACTGACAGTGACATTACTGATAGTATCCCTCCCTGTGTCTCCGTCAGGTCATTTCCCCAACAAGGCCATGCCCTCGGCAGGTACCCTGCCCTGGATCCAAGGCATCATCTGCAACGCCAACAACCCCTGCTTCCGCAACCCCACTCCTGGAGAGTCCCCTGGGGTCGTGGGTAACTTCAATGAGTCCATGTGAGTCCCACCCCAAGCTGCAGCTCTATATCAGATAGTCTCCCTTTAATAAGATATGAAAACATGAATACACTTTATTTTGTACTTGGTTCGTTTCATTAGATTAATAACATCCAAATAAAGAAAATGGTCTCTTAAATGTTTCTTGTAAATATAATATTTATAACTTGAATTGAACTGATTCAATTGTATTCTCTGTTAATCTGTTTCTCTGTGGATGTCTGTAGAATCTCTCGTTTGTTCTCGGATGCCAAGAAAATCCTGCTGTACAGTCAGAATGACCGGAATCTGGACGGCTTTAAAGACCTTATCCAGGCCCTGAAGACACTACATGCCAACACTGAAGGTAAGAGGCACCTCCATAGAGTGCCACAGCATGAGTCATAATACCCATAAAACTTAGCGGTCAAACAGGGAAATGGTTCCAATCGTTTCTCCATCATTCATTTTCTAATGTTAGCTAAATGTATACTAATCAAAAATATAAATGCAACATGCAACAATTTCAAAGATTTTACTGAGTTACAGTTCATAGAAGGAAATAAGTCAATTGAAATAAATGTAGTAGGCCCTAATCTATGGATTTCACATGACTGGGCATAGGCCCACCCATTTGGGAGCCAGGTCCACCCACTGGGGAGCCAGGCCCAGCCAATCAGCATGAGTTTTTCCCCAAAAAAGGGCTTCATTACTGACATAAATACTCCTGAGCACCCCCCTATCCTCCTGAGACGATCCCGCAGGTGAAGAAGCCGGATGTGTAGGTCCTGGGCTGGCGTGGTTACACGTGGTCTGCGGTTGTGAGGCCAGTTGGATGTACTGCCAAATTCTCTAAAACGACATTGGAGGCAGCTTATGGTAGAGAAATGAACATTCAATTCTCTGGCAACAACTCTGATGGACATTCCTGCAGTCAGCACGCTCTCTCAAAACTTGAGACATCTGTGGCATTGTGTGACAAAACTGCACATTTTAGAGTGGCCTTTTATTGTCCCCAGCACAAGGTGTACCTGTGTAATGATCATGCTGTTTAATCATCTTCTTGATATACCACACCTGTCAGGTGTGTCAGCAAAGGAGAAATGCTCACTAATAGGGATGTAGACAAATTAGTGCACAATATTTGAGAGAAATAAGCTTTTTATGCGTATGGAACATTTCTGGGATTTCTTATTTCAGATCATGAAAAATGGGACCAACACTTTACATGTTGCGTTTATGTTTTTGTTCAATTTATTAATTAATAAATTGGCTACATTTCTTTAAATGGACAATTCTGTGAACTGTCTTGTGCAATGCAATGCTTGTTAGCAAAGGAGATGACAAGCAGGAGCTTGCAGGGATTTGTAGTTTTGGTCTACTTTGATGCTAATTAGCAGTAAATACAGCCAAATATATTGATAAAAGTCACCTTGTCTGAGTAAGATTTACATGGTTATCAAAATGTCACGCCAGGGTAAGCCTACAAGAAACACAGCCCTTATTTTAAGTGTTTCTAAAATCCTCTATGGGAAAAATGAATGGTGGAAGAACTATTGGAACCATTTCCCCGTTTGACCGCTAGGTTTTATGGCAGGGTTCTTCAAATCCGGTCCTGGAGGGCCGAAACACCTCTGTTTTTCATCCTCTCCTTCTAATCAGGGGCTAATTCAGACCTGGGACACCAGGTGAGTGCAATTAACTACCAGGTAGAAATAAAAAACAGAAGTGTTTCGGCCCTCCAGGACCGGAATTGAAGAACCCTGTTTAATGGGTATTATGACACCTCCACTGTGGGGCTCTATATAAGCCATGGATCAATGCAATAGTTCATTGGTCAATGGAACCAACCTATTAGAGACTACAAACACTACTACATTCACAAGAAACACCAGGGGCCAATTCATTTGAGGGGAACGTTCATAAACTCACAGCTTAGAATAGACAGTAGTTTCGCTGAAGCTGAATCAAGAGTCATTCCAGGTCTACGTAGTGCATTTCTGTCTGCCGTGCCCCACGTTTGGGCAGAAAAAAATAGGGTTAACACTAATTCCCTTAAACAGTGCTGACTCGCAGCGGGACTCCCATCCCCCGTTTCCTGCTCCAACCTGTCTTCTGGGTTACCCTCCTGTGCCTGTGAATGGCTGTGGATGGATAGATTATGCAACTTCAATTTCACACTCAGATTTCTTCTATAATTACATTCCGTTATGAGCAGTTAGATTAATTTGTGTTTAGAGTGGCAGTGGTGGCGTGATGTGAGAGGCAGTGGGTGGATGAAAACCGGCAGAGCCTCTCCCCACTGGCAGGTTGGGGCAGGTCATGGGGTGGGCTGATATTTGGCCTTATGTCTTGAAAGTATTCTCATAGGTTATTCAAGATAGGACAGATTTTCCCTGCTCCCTTACTTGCTGTGTGCGGGGAAAGTAGTGTGAGATTCCTGTAAAGAGTGTTAGATAATCAATAGGACCGTGCCTTCGTAGTCATGTGACCTTATATTACATTAACTTGGGTAATGGACTTTATAAAAGGATAAGCCTTTCGTGGGAGTAGTATAACAACATACAGACAAGACTTCAATCTCAAGGCAAATACAGTACTACTGTAATGCATGAGGTCTTTGCATCCACTTTGGCTGATGGTAGAACATTTCTGCTGAGGTTTAATTAGGTATATTTAAATTTTAGTCATTTAGCAGACGCTCTTATCCAGAGCGACTTACAGTTAGTGAGTGCATACATTATTTTATTTTTCATACTGGCCCCCGTGGGAATCGAACCCACAACCCTGGCGTTGCAAATGCCATGCTCTACCAACTGAGCTACATCCCTGCCGGCCATTCCCTCCCCTGCCCTGGACCAATTGTGCGCCGCCCCATGGGTCTCCCGGTCGCAGCTGGCTACGACAGAGCCTGGATTCAAACCAGGATCTCTAGTGGCACAGCTAGTACTGCGATGCAGTGCCTTAGACCACTGCGCCAATCGTGAGACTAATGCGTCACTCGGGAGACTGTAAGCAGAGTATTGAAGTGTAGGTGCCTCAAACAACTAAAATGTGAAATCTGAATTGAGCCTTTGCTCATGGCAATAGAGGTGAATGATTGTGCTAGGTCTCTCTCTTATGACTAGTGGCCACCTGTTTTAACATACTTCCATTAATTTATTAGATTTTGCCAATCAGTTTCTGGTTCAGTCTACAACCTATTTACTAGTTTAAGCAAGATATTGAAAACACGGTCCTGTAGGTGAAGCCAATAGAGTTTGATAGGACTGTGGGGGTATTTTAATCGTGACTCATCCCAATAGCGGCTTGGTATATTACTTTTCTATGTATAAGTAAGAACAGGGATGACGTAACATCCCTTCCCCAGTGGTGGTTGATTACGTTCATTCTGGCTCCTGAGTTCACAGTGCACTGACTATACAGTGCATTTGGAAAGTATTCAGACCCCTTCACTTTGTTCCACATTTTGTTACGTTACAGGCTTATTCTAAAATGGATTCAATAAATAAAAATCCTCATCAATCTACACACAATACCCCATAATGACAAAGCAAAAACAGGTTTTTAGAAATGTTTGAAAATGTATTAAAAATAAAAAACACCAGTGGTGGGTTGATTCTATTCATTCTGGCTCCTGAATTCACAGTGCACTGACTATATGCCCTTTAGCACAGTCACAGATCTGATCAAGATACTCCTGATGATCCACGTTGATGATATCCGTTAACCAGTCCTTTCTGAAAACCTGTCACATTTTCCTTATACAGTGAGGGAAAAAAGTATTTGATCCCCTGCTGATTTGGTACGTTTTCCCACTGACAAAGAAATGATCAGTCTATAATTTTAATGTTTATTTGAACAGTGAGAGACAGAATAACAACAAAAATATCCAGAAAAACGCATGTCAAAAATGGATTTGCATTTTAATGAGGGAAATAAGTATTTGACCTCCTCTCAATCAGAAAGATTTCTGGCTCCCAGGTGTCTTTTATACAGGTAACGAGCTGAGATTAGGAGCACACTCTTAAAGGGAGTGCTCCTAATCTCAGCTTGTTACCTGTATACATTTTTTACATTTTTAGTCATTTAGCAGACGCTCTTATCCAGAGCGACTTACATCAGCAATTAGGGTTAAGTGCCTTGCTTAAGGGCACATCGACAGATTTTTCACCTAGTCGGCTCGGGGATCAGAACCAGCAACCTTTCGGTTACTGGCACAACGCTCTTACCCACTAAGCTACCTGCCGTCCTTTGTATAAAATACATCTCTCCACAGAAGCAATCAATCAATCAGATTCCAAACTCTCCACCATGGCCAAGACCAAAGAGCTCTCCAAGGATGTCAGGGACAAGATTGTAGACCTACACAAGGCTGGAATGGGCTACAAGACCATCGCCAAGCAGCTTGGTGAGAAGGTGACAAAAATCATGCAAGATCTCACCTCGTGGAGTTGCAATGATCATGAGAACGGTGAGGAATCAGCCCAGAACTACACAGGAGGATCTTGTCAATGATCTCAAGGCAGCTGGGACCAAAGTCACCAAGAAAACAATTGGTAACACACTACGCCGTGAAGGACTGAAATCCTGCAGCGCCCGCAGGGTCCACCTGCTCAAGAAAGCACATATACAGGTCCATCTGAAGTTTGCAGATGAACATCTGAATGATTCAGAGGAGAACTGGGTGAAAGTGTTGTGGTCAGATGAGACCAAAATCGAGCTCTTTGGCATCAACTCAACTCGCCATGTTTGGAGGAGGAGGAATGCTGCCTATGACCCCAAGAACACCATCCCCACCGTCAAACATGGAGGTAGAAACATTATGCTTTGGGGGTGTTTTTCTGCTAAGGGGACAGGACAACTTCACTGCATCAAAGGAACGATGGACGGGGCCATGTACCGTCAAATCTTGGGTGAGGGCCAGGGCATTGAAAATGGGTCATGGATGGGTATTCCAGCATGACAATGACCCAAAACACACGTCCAAGGCAACAAAGGAGTGGCTCAAGAAGAAGCACATTAAGGTCCTGGAGTGGCCTAGCCAGAAAATCTGTGGAGGGAGCTGAAAGTTCAAGTTGCCAAACGTCAGGCTCTAAACCTTAATGACTTGGAGAATATAATAATAATAATATGCCATTTAGCAGACGCTTTTATCCAAAGCGACTTACAGTCATGCGTGCATACATTTTTGTGTATGGGTGGTCCCGGGGATCGAACCCACTACCTTGGCGTTACAAGCGCCGTGCTCTACCAGTTGAGCTACAGAGGACCGGTGGAAGATCTGCAAA